AGCAGTGAGATATTTTTTAGTTCGCCCAGTCGTGCAGATGTGAGAATGAGCATGGATGCTCACAATGATTTTGGAACTTTGAAAAATTTAAGTGGAAAAACAAAAAGCATAAAAATCGTATCGAGTGATGGTTTTTGTGAGCGTTTTTTCCTTAAATGTCGCATGAGGCGAGTTGGTATCAAATGGGCACTCGCGCTCACGTTGATTCTAGAAGTTTAAAAATGTCTATCGGAGAAAACGGTCGAGAAGTGTATTGAGGTAAGATTTGGATGATACGTTTTTTGATATGTATTAATATTTTACTGCTGTTTGTCCGTAAGTCGGTTCGTATCAGAATTGTGTGTATTCGCTGGTCGGCTACGGGCGGATCTTTGTATTGGTTTTGGAATAAATTCGTTGATTGGAATTGATGGATTCTTATTGAGTGCGATCGGTTCCGATAGGTGGAAATGCTCGATTTTTTGTCGTATTATATCGGATAAAATATGGTATGATACGTTGGTTACCGTTGGTTGCCCGACAGAGGAACTTGGTGTTCTCTAGCGGATGTGATCGGATATAGATGTCTGAACATACAGGTTCCGATAACATAGATTCTGACGGTTCTTCACGAATTCGTTTGTCGGTTTATATCGGTGTTTTCTGAAAGTTGTCGGAATGTGGCGGTTGGTTTCTGATAGGATCCGATCACCGGGTTTTGCCGGGTTTGAGGCCCTCCCGGTAGGTTCCGATCCTGTGTCTTTCTCTTGGGTATGGTATTTATTGATGCCCATCGGTAGTATTCAAAACATTAATTTTGATCCTAAAACAAGAACTTCTTAAGTTTGAGTCGTTTAAGAAAAATGAACGCTTATGCGTCGCGTTCTGGAAAAAATACGAAACGGCACTTCCAATATTAAGCAAAATGACAACTCGTTATGGATGCGTATCAGCTAGCTCAGTGCCGAGTGAAACTGTCTTTTCTATTGCTGGGTATATGGCTCGTAAAACTCGATCGTCTATTACAGCTGAAAATCTGAAATATTCGATGTTTCTAAAAGACAAGATGTAATTTGTTTTTCTCTTATTTTACTCTCCTCTTGTTAGTAACAAGTTAGTATGTAAAAATAAGCAATAATAAAATTTGATGCCCTAATGTATTTTTATTTTGTAAAAATGTTAAACAACAGCTGCGTAGATACATGCTAGTAACAAAGCTTTTTTTTGTAATGTATCCTATTTATTTGTGTTTTCTTCTGTTGAAATAAAGTGAATAAAATATAATTATACATATGGAAGGTGCATGTGAACGGGTGTGGTTGATAAATGAAATGAGCAGCCACATTTACCTTCAAGATACTGTTATCATAAAAAAGTATTAAAAATTATGTTCCCAACTTTGAAGTTTGATCATAATATGCAACTAATTTAACATTTAAACATGGTCCTCCATCTACATAGATAAATGCTAGGATCGACTACCTTAATAGTTTTTGTTATAGAGATTATTTTCGGCTATAAAGGATTTATTTTTCTATTAATATTTTAATTCGTAGGAGAGGTCTCACTGATCATAACAAGAAAGTGGGTGTAATGGAAGGTAATTCTCACTCATATCCACCCTTTTTATTTTCAATTCATAGTGAATTACAAACAATAGTAGTATCTGTTTATTTTAGTTCAAATAAATTAGATTGATAAATATGATGGAGTGTTTCAATTTAAATGTGTTCTCTTTGTAGTTAAGAACAGACTTACTGTTCTGCAAGTTGACATCGTATTCACGGAGCTATACGTTAATCATGACGTGAGCCGATAATGAGCTATGGATCGTTTGTGTTGACGTTTTTGGGTAGGCGCGCTCGTACGTAATATCTAACGTCATAAAAAGGACAAATAATTACTCATATATTGATTCATCCAAAGAATGGATTGATAGGCGTTGTCTATTGACTCATGATTATATAGGTTATGCATGAATGATTCGATGACGCTTTTCTTATATGAAGAAGAAACGAATAAATACGATGAGTATAGCTACCCATTAGTAACATTCTTTTTTTTTCAACGACAATTTAAACAAATATTTATACAATATGCATCATCCATTTCTTGACATGGCAATAGTCGGTGCTGTTGGTTTGGGTGCATATGAATTGTGGCATCATCATCACTACGGTAATTTTGGTTTTGGAAATCCGTACAACCAAGCTGGATTTGGCGGCTATAGCAATCCTTATGGATATGGTACACCGTATGGATTTAATCATCCTCATCATCATCATCATCACGTTCTTTAACAATAAATACTGTTAACTATTCTTGATTTCCTGTTATTTTTAACGACACTATGTCTGTTCTAATAAATTGTAATTACTTCTGACTATACATTTTGATAATCGACAATAATCATGTTGCTTCGAATGTTATATGCACATTATTTTTGTCTCAGCATTCTTGCATGAGTTTTTAAATTTCTACAATATATTTCGTGTCCAAAAAATTCGCATTTTCATATCAATCATTGAACTTTATTTCTGAATCCAAAATCTATTTATATTACTACATAGTGGATATATTTTTCGCTAATTGAACTTCAAAGTTTCGGTGTATTGAAATTAAAAAATATTTCTTATCTTGTTTTAAGAATTTTGAATCTAAAAGTCGAGTTTTATTCAATTTTATAAAACAATGGTGTGTCTGAGTTATTTAAAACATTTCATTTGTTCCTATTATAAATAATATTTCTATTCATAATCATTATGTATCTTCAGTCGACAAGAAAACAATCTTGTTCTAATTCTGTTTGCTTTGTGTGTCATCATCATAAAATAGTATTTCACAACAATGTCGTAATTACGTTTGTTTTTTTTTTCGTGTGGATTAGTATGTTATACTATTTCGGATTCTTGAGAGTGTGGATGTGTAGATGTAGCTGTAGATGTACAAACAAATGAAACGCCAATATCCACACCCACGCTCCTATTCTTTTATACGAAACAAACAATAATTCTTTGATTTTTATGTAAAATAATCTTATCAAAATTGAATTCTTTTTGTTTTTCTGTAATTGCATCATATGACGGAGTGCCTTGTTGATTTATGATATGACGACATTTATTTCAAAAGAAAAATCTTATCTTCCGACTTTTATTTACTTTATATATCATATAAAAATGTTAGTAATAATTCATTTGTCTATAATATTCATATTTTCAAATGACTTCGACACAACTACATACAGTACCTGTTATTCCGGACGGTTTACGTCGTGTGGAACTAATTAAACAATTTGCTGATACTTTTGATTATTTGGATTCTATATCACAAGACATATTTAATCGTATATCTAGTCGTCTTAATGTTTATCGTGCAGAAGTAAATCAATTCGATAAACAGATTCAACATTCAGATGAACATATTAATCATATAAAAGGTTCGAAATATCCTATTCAAGTCCATTCAAGTGCACGTTATCCAATTGAACAAAATCGTTCAACATTTAAATCAATATTTGAATGTGATACAGATAATAAACCATCTGTATTTCATTATGATTTATTTCATTCAAATGAATCAGATGATAAATATATAAATTCAAAATCAAATGATGATACATTAATTGTTTTAAAACAATATGAAGAAAATTTTCTGCAAAAAACCAGAACAACTAATTTAAATGGTTTTGGAAGATTGCCAACGAATATTAAATCGGTTATTTCATTGCTTAAACATAATACAAAAGAAAATCCGTAAGTAATTAACAAAATAAAACTAATTTTCATCTAATTCTTTATAGTTATATACAATCAAGAAAAACCGATTCATTAAATACTGCTACTCGAATGCGTAAACAAGTTGATGGATCGATTCAAACACATAACAGTTTTATTGAAAATCCATCACCTCTATTTTATGAACAAATGTTTGAACGTTCAGCCATGGCTGATATCAATTACAATCCCACGTTAGGACTTGTACCTGAATTGTCTTTACCTGATAATTTACCTGAACTGGACAATTATGCGACTTTTGTTGATAATACTGTCATCGATCGAACAAAACAACAAATGACTTCTATTGCACCTTCATTTTCTGATTTAATACTACCAGATATTAATGATTTAACATCAACTGCCATAACAGCTCCTCCAGTTAAATCTCCAGAACCAACAGGTAAATATTTTACTAGGAAATTGAAATAAAATAATTTCTTTTTCTAATTTAGTATCTACTTTACCACCAGTCGATATACCAGAAATCATTCCTGTTACTCCTGCTTCAATCTCTATTCCTGCTCCACTTCCTTCACCGGCACCAGTACTTACCCCACCATTATTGCCTACAGCTCCTTCAATATCAACACCGCTAACAGTTGTTGAAGAACCACAAGCAGCAACTATTAATACAGTAGATGGTAGTGATGATCCCTTTCTTATACAGATACATAATTTTTCGGAAACAAATAAACTTAAACCTGTTACAAAGTCCAATGCAGCCGACAAAGTACCATCAGCAACTCCAAATATTATGCACGAAATAGGAATAGTGAAACGACGTCCATTTATTGCACCAAAACAAGAAGATGATTCGGATGATTCAGATGATTGGAATGATAATTTTTATTGAATCAATAATTTATTAACCCTTTCTACGATTTTTTCATGTTGATTGTAAACAAAAAAAACTAATTTATTTTTTTATGTTTTATTATTTCTATTCCTGATAAAAAGAGAGATAAAGCCATGGATGAGAAGTCCTGATTTGATTTGAATATTAACTTTTGATTTAATGAAACACGTAGTTGAACATACAATTTCATTGTTATTACAAGAAAATTTCTTCATTTAGTCACTTCTTTCAACATCCGTTCATCGTAATAAGGGTATGGGTAACTGAGTAAGAATATGATGTAATTATTGTGCATATCCACACCCTTAAAATATAATACAAAAAAATATCTTCATAGTCAGTTTTTTGCACGTATATTTGTCTTTTTGTGATAACAAAATATATGCTTTGAATAGTTGGATTATACCAACAAAACTTCCAACTTCTACATATTAAAAAGATAACGATTATATTTAACTATGATAAAAATAAAATTCCTTTTCTTTATATATGTGAAAGGTAAGAGAATAGTTTAAATATCATTTTTTTTCTTTTTGATTTAGAATATTAGTTGTTGACTATATAAAACAAGGTGCACTTATTAAAGATCTTTGTATTGTTTTAGTTTGATTAATAAACTTATGACTGCACCAATACTCTTCAATGATAAAAAACATCTGGGAAAGTTTTCTCTTATTTGGCTAGATCAAAATGCTAATCTTAGTAAAGATATTGAACAAAAATTACGTTCGATCATAAATCATTTGAAACAATTTCAAGATATTGAACAATATCATCAATATATCGAACAATCGTTGGAACAGTATCGTTTAATTCTTATTGTTAATGATGAATTTGGAAAAATCATAGTACCTCATATTCATTATATTAATAAACTTCTATCAATCTATGTTCATTGTTCTGATAATAATATAGACAAACAATGGTCATCAAAATTTCAAAAAGTAAAAATTTTTAAAAAGCAGTTCCAAGTTTTATTTCTTTCTTACAACTAGATTAAAAGTGTTGTTATTGACATAGATGACCTTATTAGTGTAATAAAAAACAAATTTAAAATTCAAAGAAAACTTGAAGAATCATTTTCAATCAATGGATATTCACTTCATAATCAATCAAGAACACGATTAAATACTCCATTTCTATTTTCACAAATATTTCTTGATTCTCTTCTTAAATTAAAATCAAATGAAAATGATCAAAATAATTTAATTCGTTATCTTCAACATGAATATCAAAATAATCCAAATGAATTAAATAATATTCAACAGTTTAAAGAAAATTATTTATCAAATAAAGTTTTATGGTGGTATAAGAGAAAAGATTTCTTTTTTTCTTCAACATTAAATGCTGTATTGAAAACTAAAAATCTTTCAATGATGTTTTTATTTCGTTCATTTCTATTTGATATACAAGAACAACTAAGAAAATATCAATCAAAACAATGTTTGAAAGTCTATCGAAGTCAAATCATGTCAATTGATGATTACTATTATATAAACAATGCAATCAATTATTTATCCGCTAATTCATTTCTATCTACAACTAAAAGTTATTCCACAGCATGTTCACTTTTTGATCAACTGGATATTGGCTCGGAGTCTATGAAAGTTATTTTTGAAATCAATGCTGATCCAAATGTTGTGACAAGTAAACCATTTGGAGATATAAGTGAACTGAGTAATCATTCAGAAATTTTGTTTATGCCTGGATCAATATTTCGTGTTGAGAAATGTGTGTATGAGTTAAACGGGCCAAATATTATTCAAATGACTTTATGCAATGAAAATGATTTGAATTTAAATGAACAAATTGATAATGATATGATAAATCCAAGATTAATAGGAAAAATTGTATCTAAAATGGGTAAAAATGATTTAGCTGAAAAATATTTTCAACGTTTGATTGAACAACTATCGTCCAATGATTCCTTACTTGCCGATTTATATGAAGATCTTAGTCAAGTATTATCTCAAATAGGAGATGATCAGATGAGTAAAACGTGGTATGAGAAATCCATTGTATTTAAACAACAATATCAATTAATGGACAAATCGACAGGTTAGTTTATCAGATGATTTTGAAAAATATGACTTCTTTTTCTTTTTTTTTTGTTTTCAAGAAAATATTGTCTTTTTAACTTTATTTTCCATGTGGTATTTGTGCTGCTGAATGTGGAAAACATCGTATTGTTCAATGCAGATTTGGTACAAACGATTGGCAAGTTGTTGCTGGTGGTAATGAAGAAGGAAATAGATTAGATCAACTGAAGCAGCCAATGGATGTCGTAGTTGATAAAAAAACTAATTCATTGATTATTTGTGACTTAGGAAACAGACGAGTTGTACAATGGTCACGTGATAATTGCTAATATTTATTTTTATGCATTAGCAATAGACAAAGATGGTGATCTTTATACTTTAGATACTATAAAACGTGAAGTGAGAAGAGGGAACAAGGAAGAAACATTTATTGCAAGTGAAAATGAAGATAGTATTCCATTTAAGCAATTACAAGACCTTCACTCTGTTTTCATAGATAATAATTATTCGGTTTATATATCGACATGGTACGGTCGTCGCATAATAAAATGCAAAAAGATTCGAAAGAAGGAATAGTCATTGCTGGTGGCCCAGATGCTTTAATTGAAACGGATTATGCTGAAGGATTGTTTGTGAATCATTTAGGTGAAATTTTTGTAGCTGATAATGGTGAACGTAAAATAACATGTTGGTCACCAGAATCAAAAAATGTTGATGTTATTGTGGGTGGAAATGGTAAAGGATATCAACCAAATCAACTCAACTGACCAAAAGGAATAGCATTCGATCGTCAAAACAATTTATATATTACCGATAGTTTCAATCATCGAGTTCAAAGATTTGATATTGATAATAGTTAAGTTAAACTTTAGAAAGTAATCTTTTACTACTGTTTTATCTAATCGATAAAAATTGTTTTCATATAAAGACTTTGTAATTTTTCTTTAATCGATTTATTCGTTTATTTTGATGTAAATTTTGATTAAATTTTTCGAGAGCGTGGGTATTGGCATAATTTTCATTTATACCAAATATTCAGGCCTTCGCTCACACCCTCAATAATGTCATTTTTCCTCTCTTGTCATATATATTTTATTAAACGCCAGTGTTAATATAATGTCTGTATTCAAAGAAAAACACTCAAAATCAGTATCTTTAGAAGGGATAAAGAAAAATGTTAGTTTCACATCTTGATTAGTAGTATAATTATGAAATAAAACAGAATTGTGTCAAGAAAAATGTCCAATGTTTGAGAAAAGAGAAAACTGTCTTTAACGTTGAAAAATATTTTTCATTCGTTGTTGATGTCTTATTTTTGCAGCAATGTTCGATGGTTTGAACGTATTTGAGAATTTTGTGAAAGCAGTATACATTACCAGAGCATGTATAGGCATAAAAGCAACCATGAGAACAGCTGACATAATTGCAATGGGTTGTTTACATGCATTTTCCTAATATATGTATATATTTATATCAAGAATATCAATCATATTTCAATGGAAACTTACGAAATCTTCTGGATAAAAAACAGGAATAGTTGATTCAGTTGTTGCACCTGTGACAGTTGGGCCTGCCGTTGTTGGACCTACAATACAAATTAATGAATTACAACGTAATCCTCCAAAAAGAAATATTCTATTGAAAATGTCATTTTTTACCAGCGGTAGTTAGAGGTGTGGTAGTCACAGTTGTTGTAGTAGTAGAAGCATTTGTCGTAGTCACGACTATTCCACTTGTTGTACACTATGAAAAAGTGTAATATTAAGAATGATAGAATAATTGAAATTAACTTACTGCAGTATTGACAGAAGTAGTAGTTGTTCCTAGGCTTGTAACTGTATGAGTTGTTGGTGGAGTAGTAGTTGTTGTACTTGTACTTGAAAGTGCTGGATTCCATATATCAAATCGCCAAAATGTTTTATCAGTAATGGGTGCCGATTCAGCATCTATAGGTTTACATCAATTATGATAAAACGTTTGATCTTTCACTTTCATGAAAAAAATAGACAAAAAGACTTACGACAAAAGACACTTCCACTAGCAAATCCACTATCCATTGTTACATAATAGGATTGACCAGGTGTCCATGTTAAACTTGTAACGATGACAATTGTATATCCAGTATAAATAATATTTGGAGAATATCCAGCATCATAACATAGAACTGACGCATTTGTAGAGTCCAGGTGAAAACAGATATATGTTCCATTACGAGAAGGTCGACCAACTGCACTTGTTGCTGTTTAATTAAAATAGAAAATGGAGAATACCAGATCAACATAAGAACAAAGGCAAACTTTATTTCGAAAAAATGCCTACCTGTTATGTAAAACAATGATTGATTTGAAAAGACAGTACCTATTGGACTTACTGATCCTTGTACAAATGTGGGACGAATTAAATTCGGTGAGTCATAATCAACTAGATACGTGATACACCATGGATCTGATTGTAGACTACTATTATCAATTGCACCAGCACAAAAACCTTGAGGACCAGATTGTGTTACTGAGGGTGTCCATGTCAATGTCATTACCCACATATCTATGATATCATATTTCAGATTGAAAAGTTTTCACATTCTAACAAGCTATGATCAATTGCTTACTAGAACTTGGATTACTAATAGCACTATGTGTCATTCCAATAGGTGAACTAGTGACCAAATCAACAATTGTTTGACCAGGACAATATGTTTCTATAACTATAGTTTCATTCAGTTGAACACCTAAAACATAGGTTGTCAATATCAGAAAAGAAAAGGCATTCACTGCACTTACCAACTGGAACTCCAATACATGCTAAAGAGGATTCAATAGATAAAAGAAAGTATTATCAAATGCCTGAGGTTAGTTTAGAAAAGAATTCACATTCATACCTCTATTTGGACGGATACCAGTAATATTTGGACGTTGCGCACACGCACCTGAGGCAGCTGTATATCCATAGAATAGGAATTGTATTGGAACTGAACTCATTGGAGTCGTGGAGCTAGCGTCATAAAAATCTTCAATTTGAAGTGCACAAGCATAATAGAGACTAGCGTTTTGTAGAATGAAAGATAACGTACAATTGGACGAGATGAGGACAGTTACAGGAGGCAGTCCGTAACAGATACCTTGACATTCATCAACTCCATTGTAATTATTTGTAGAATTTGCATTGGACCAACGACATTGCAATATATCAGTAGCATCATTATCTGCCATTTGTACAATATGAACTATTGGTGTATTTATTGGGTAAAATACTACTGGCAATGTATTTGTAACAGGACTGGTATTGATGTAGCCATCTGGTCTTGGGGCTAAATTCAATCGATTGACAATTGACCACGGATCTCCACCGCCCTTCAAGAGTGAGGCAAACCATGCACTCGAGTTAAAGCCAATTGTAATCGATGTTGTCAAAGGCAGCGTCAAAGTAGTGTAGATTTCGCCAGCCCATGATTGAATTATCGGATTTAAGTCACAATCTGTAGTTGTCATAACAGTTGAAAGCCCAATTGAAGGATAGCTAGAACTTGAGCAGTTTTTTAAACAGAGCATCGCAGAATTGACTGGAATAAGTGTTTCAGAAGCAACATTCGCTTCCATGCAATTAGGGGAAGGAAAACTGCCCCATTGTCGATTCCAAAAATACCTTTGATGTATGAGAACCTGTGTAGTGTTGCCCGTTACTGTATTGTTTAACGGACGCCTAAGAAGAAGAAGAAGAAGAATGTAAAAATTAAAATATGCAAGATTGATTAGAAGAACAAGCATTATTTAAGTATGCTTGCCATGAAATAATACCACCACGAAAATGTGCTCCATCAAGCACAGTACCTAGTGTAAACAAAATCAAGAGGAAAAGGCGCAAAACCCGCTCCATTTGATCAGTATACAATTGTTGCTTCTTCTTTTTCTTCTTTGTGTAATGAAATACTGAATCACTCAGTGAGTTGACGTTAATTGTATTAATTTTTAGAGTGAGTATATAACTTATTTTCTTTTTCTTTTTATACCTGTATGTGTTTGTTTTAAGAGCTTTCAAGATAAGTGAATTGATGTTTGATCATAGAAGTGTTTGACTTTCAGGCGAGAAAAAAAAGAAATTTGAATGTATGACTTCTTAACATTAACGCTAATGGAAAAAAAACTTAAGCAATAGAATGTTGAATTATTGTTTATTTTGTCCAATTCAATTGCCAGGCTTCAGAATGAATAGAAAGACATCATATTCTAATGGTACACAATATGCAAATACTTCTGAATCTATTATTTCGGTATTTTTCTGATGTCGCGAGGACGTACACAGTGTGTGGATGGGCATAATTTCATGTAACTTTCTGGCGCGTAAACCATGCAATTTCCGCAAGATTTTTATGAGAGATAGTACTTTATTGATCGTTCCACCAGAGAAACCGGGACAAAAAAAAATCGAAGCTCAGATTCTCATGAGTAGATTCTTAGGTTATCAATAGTAATGTCATCTTGTTTATATAAAAGAAAACATTTCGTATTAGAACAGTTCTTTGGTAATAAAAAGTCTCTTGAAAAATGACGTCTTAATAATTGTATTAAAACGACCGAATATGTCACAAGATTCAACGTGAAAAGCTCTACAATTTATTTAAGATTGTTTTTGAAGTGATCATTATTTAGACCAACCGAATTTCAATCCTAAGAAAAAGTCGTTTTCAATACACGACTAATGTTTTTTTTATTTATTAATAAAAAAATTTATTTAAACGAAAAATAAAATACATTATGAGATACAGAATGAAAAAGTGTACAATCTATAAAAGAAATGTTTATTCTCTTTCTCGACAAGAAAAATATCACAAGAATAAATTATTTATATGTTTGCTTGCTTGTGTATCCATACTTCACTGATCGGTCGAAAAATAATGTAAAAACAAAAAGAATTCTTTCCTATCAAACTTCACAAAAGGCAATCAAGTATGACGAATTCGAGTGTGAGGGTATGGGTGAAAGCAACTCACACCCTCAAGATAGTCGTGCAGGTTCGCCAGCTTCAAATGTCAATATGATTCGTCGATTTGTACTGTCAAAATTGAATACAATATCTGTTCGTTCATATTGTTTGTTGGCAAAAATTCTTGTTCTACAGTGTCCACTATGTAATTCAGCAATAGACAGTAAATCATAAAGATGTTGAGATAAATTCGATGCAGCATATTCTTACCATCCCTCTACTTCGTGCCAGATTCCTCCTGATGGCATAAAAAACGAATTGCTTTTTAATTCAAATTTTTCGTAGGAATCAGGATTGTATTCTTCGATTTGCAGTACAAAACTATGGAATATCATTCGTTTTAATGATAAATCTGTATTTATTGCCATCATTTACTAAATATGTGTTGATAATTTCATCGAAGGGCACACATCTAACATTATTCATGAGATCATTTAATAGGAAATTGTTGAACAAAATAGTTTGATTCTCTCCTACATTTGAATCTTGTCTATGAATCTTTCTGTATAGAATAATTCGTAAAAGTGAAATGGAATATCTTAATCTTACATGTTTCTTTTATATAAGCTAAATATATTTTTTCCCTTTGTGAAATAAATTCTACAGTAGGAAGATTTGTATGTGAATTCATTTCTACTCACCTGTTATTTATTTTCGAAGAGAAAAGAAGAAAAAAAAAGTGAGATGCATGAATTTAACAGATGTGGATGTATTTTATTTTATTCTTTTTCATACCTATTTTTCTGATGCTGTCTCAACACTATACACATTTATATACTTTTGCTCTCAAAAAAAAAACAATATAAAAATCTTAATAAAATGTAAAATAGTTTTCAATATGATTGATGAAAAAAGCATATTTTAAAGAATATAAATCTTAGGCATTGCTGTGAATATATTGTTATTTTAATTAAAGTGATATTTATAATGTTAAAAGAAATAACATGAAAATGAATTTAGGAAGCAGAATATTTTGTGCATAAATATATAATTCTCTTCTATGTTTCTATAGTAGATTTGTGTAATTAGAGAATTGTATTGAAAAGTTTTGAAAACACATTTGTGTTTTTTTTCTAAAGAGTTAGAACAATCTTATTTACTTCAAAGTGAAAATTTGGAAAATTGCAAGGCCTATTTTATTACTTTTCCTTTTATTATATATGTCCTCCATTCAAAGTATGCATATATCTACTGCTGTTTAGCGGCCTCTTCGGTTCTTCTTCTTCTTTTTCCTTTTCTTTCTCATTCTTATCTTTTTCTTTCTTTCTACGACGCGTGTTGTGTGTCGTGTATCTGTTTTTATTTCTCATTCATTTGTGTACCTCCTCGAGTAGTGTATACTTGTTTTTTGGTTTGGGTAGAACACAGAGTGAATAGAAGCACACAACATACATTTTTTACATGAATGATTGCACTTCGAGTTCATTCGAATTAAATATGAAAAAGAAACTAGTTTCTTACTGGTCCAACTTTGTTTATTATTCAATAGTTTTAATAAGTGCCTATAATCACACAAAAAAGTCTGAGCGCGATCGATTGAGAAATGAAGGACTTTTTTCGAAAGACATATCCGTAGTTGATGGTTGTCACCCACACCCACCCTTGACATTAACTTGTTTTTTTTTAGAAAGATCATCGTGTTCAGCAGCACATTCACCATCAATTAGAATCATTGAATACAATGTCATCGACAAATCCAACAGATCCTACATTCAGATCCTATAGCGCCGTTCAGGCTCAGACCTACGCTGTTGAACGGAGATCATATCCAAATGAACTTTACGATATTGTGCTCAAATATCATACCAACACCGGCGGCAAATTAAACCAACTGCTCGATGTAGGATGTGGACCTGGAAATGCGACACGAGATCTTTCCATAGCCTTTGACCGTGCGGTAGGCGCTGATCCGAGTGCAGAAATGATTGCTGCTGCACGAAGCCGACGTGGAAAGAGTCGATCGGGCGACGATATTAAGTTTGAAATTAGTCTTGCAGAAGAATGCTCGAAAATAAACGAAATTGGAGCTGAAACTGTAGACTTGCTCACGGTAGCAATGGCTGTGAGTCAATATTTATGTGAATAGAATCATAAAATATTATTGATCGTGTTTGGCTCATTGGTTCAACATGGATGCATTCTGAACTGAAGCAGCAAAGGTACTCAAACCAGGTGGTTCCGTAGCTCTTTGGACGCTTGCTTCCCTCTATTGCCGTAAGATCCGTTTTTTTCTTTCGATTAATTCCGAATTATATTGATTTACATTTTTTATATGTTTCAGATCCTTGCACTCCAAATGCTGCAGAAGTGCAGCGTATTCTCTTTCATCTGGAGCGGGAAGTTCTTGCACCTTTCGAGCTACCATCTAATCGCCTCTCGCGAGACATGTACGATAAACTTGTTCTTCCATGGGATGTGATGCCTCCTATCACGGCTTTCTCTTCATCCGATTTTGTTCGATATGAATGGGATCGTGATGGTATCCTGAGCAATGGTAGCACATTTTTTGGTCAAAGTGACGAAACCTCTTTAGATGAATTGGAAAGAGGATTGGCAACATCTAGCATGGTCACACGTTGGAGAAATGCAAATCCTGATCTGGCAGGAACCGACAAAGATTGTGTGCGAGATACAATGAAGAAGCTCAAAGAAGCGCTTAATGGACAGGAGACCTTCATACAAGGTTCCGGAACTGTACTTCTACTGTTTAAGAAGCAGTCATCTTGAGGGTGTGGGTGTTGGTCTGGAAGTTTACATTGAAGTGACACATTCATACTCTCAAGGTGATATCATTCATCATTGGAAATTCTATATGAAATATTTGATATTCTAAACACGAATCCTGTTATTTTAATATTGTTGAATATATTGGAAATAAAATAAACATAAGAGTAATGTTAAAAAAGCCCCAATAAATATAATTAGCGTTATATATGTATATATGTATATAGGGTGTGGGTGAAAGTGGGTGTGAGTATTTTATTTCAACCACATCCATATCTATACCCACACCCACCCATCTTCAAAGATCGGCCAAGGGTTTGGTATTAAACAATGAATAAAACAGCGATATACAAATTGATCCATTGGTATCCACATCCAAATTCTTGTCCACAACAACGCATCTATTCGTACTGAACAATTTAATAATATATGCAATATGTCTGCATCTATAAAGACAACAATAAATACTAATATTGAAGGAGCATGCTCAGAAGTATGTTAAACCTAACATCGCATAGCACGTAATCTATGTGTATGGCGAGAATGATTCTTCAATGACAATTTACATGTATGCGCATGACATAGAGAAAAGTATATATACAACATACTATCACGTAAAGTGATCAATGTATAGAGTATGATAGTAAAGAGGTATGAAAATATGAGCATTTTATCACTTTGGTCAAATAATTTTACTCATTGCAGAAGCAACGTTTACAATTGGGCGCTACGACACTCAAAAACGTCGAATAAAAAGATGTGGCACTTGACTTACCGATATGTTTTTCATGGATTTCTCATTATTTCTTCGTCGTTTATCACAACTAACGGGCAATTTATCCTACATAAAACCAACCCGAAGAGCAGTTCTGATTTTGAATATGATTGTTTATACTATTATGTATCGAGTAGTGCGTACTTCGTTGATACTCCGTATAAACCGAAAGATGGACTAGCACATCAAATTATCGAATACTGTATACGTCCTGCCGAAGAAGAGATGAACTCTTCGACACTTTCACTTGTGGACAATGTGACAAAGTTGACTTTTGTCGAGTTACATCTTCAAAACGTTACTGCATACGATCTACTGCTCAGGTCTGCGCCTGTTGAACTTGCTGAGCGATACCAAGAATACGTTGACCATTCGTCGCCTGATAATGCTAATCAGACTTTTCTAAGCTGCTCATCGCCGTGGTTTGGATCATCATGTCAGTATACATTCGACTTTTTGAATAGCACTGCCAAATCGTTCACCGACGTTGTCGAGAACACGCTCGAGGCAAAATGGAATCATAGCTATCCACGTCGGATCCTCGTCACAAATCTAACATGCTATAGACATTTAATGTGTAACCGACAACCAGAACCGATATGTCTTGATTGGAGAGAAATATGCGATGGAAAGATCGATTGTGTCGATGATGGGGTGGACGAAGATTTTTGCTTTGAGCTCGAGTTAAACGAATGTAGTCCTGACGAGTATCGATGTCATAACGGTATGTGCATTTCTAACGAGTTCGTGCATGACGATCCTTGGAATCCGGAATGTCTTGATGCAACAGATGAGGGTACACTTATCGACTACACAAGTTACTGTCTTCAGGATCCGACATTCCGTTGCGAGGAGCGTGCTTGTCGCCGTCAGTCACGTGAGTTCGCCTGTGGCGATGGCCAATGTGACGTAAATGATAATAAAGTTCTTTCAGATTCACATGTATGTCATAATGGACGTCAGTGGTTGAGACAGCAGGCACTTCTTGTACCCCAAGCTAGAAGCGATGCATGCTGGTCGGCAATGACTTGTTTGCTACGAATCGTTAAGTTTCAAGATGGACAATGCGAAGGACTGTGCAAAACCTCTCTTGCTCGATGCATATTGTCACTGAAAAACAGCTGTCCTCGACCATACTTCTTTTTTCCTTCATACCCTATATTCTTTGATCATGTCTATTTCCTTTACGCTTCATCACGCATTGATTACTGGACAAATGCCGCACCAAGCTTGGTGTGTTATGATAGTCATCTATGTCCCTTTCTACCGTGGACTGTGAAAATCAACGGATCCACTTGCATTGGTGTACAAGAACTGGGTTTGGAACCTGTAACAGAGGATTGGAACACGGTTACCTCCAAGATACATAAGATTTTCGCTACCTGTGGACGTTGTCCAGATTCTTCTTCAGAACTTTTCCGGTGTAACAATTCGACTAAATGTATCTCAAAACACCGACTTGTGGACGGCGTGGAGGACTGTATTGATGGCTCTGATGAGAAGATTGAACACAGCTGCGCGCTTACAGATAGTTGGCGTCGATTTGAATGTCCTTTAGAGAGCCAAAGACGATGCATCTCACCTATCCTCATACAAGATGGTATTGTGCATTGTACAGCAACTGGTCAGGATGAGATCACATCGTCTCAGCGTCGATTGCAAGAACGTATTTCATTTGGTATACTATGCGATGGGTTCACAGAAATATCGTATAAAGAACAAAATGAGACCGATGAGACTAACTGCGAGCTATGGCCGTGCAATAATCTTTATACTCGCTGCGATAATATCTGGAACTGTATCAATGGAGCCGATGAACTCCAGTGTCATTCTTCACCTTGCCATTCAGATGAACATCCCTGCTTATCTATTCATCGTAATGAGCTCATATGTCTACCGCTGAATCGTACAAATGATGGGATAATTGACTGTCGTGGTGCCATGGATGAACGTATGTTTTGTCGTAGCACTCACAAACCCAGGACTGAACGCTACCGTTGCTTGAATTCTACTACGTGCATAACGATGTATGAAGTATGTGGCGTAAACGACAATAGACATTGCCCATTAGGCGATGATGAATGGAACTGCTCAAGATATACTGACTCTGCTGGAGAGTTCTCAGGCTTATGTTCTGATATCGCATCTACTCAGCGCAGCATTGGTGAAACAATGTTGTGTAGCGTTAGTGATATGACCAAGCGCACAACTATCTATTTCTCATTGTCAAATAACCAAAACAATCGATCAGAGACTGTTACGTCCAATCAATCAGTTCAGAAGCCGACTTCACAATACCCATCAGTAGACTATGTTCGAGCATGGTCTTGTAATCGTGGCATTCTTGTCCGAATGAAGAACAATCAGGAAAAATGTTTGTGTCCCTCAAGTTATTACGGAAACAAATGTCAATATCAGAGTCAGCGTGTGAGCCTAACATTAAGCTTTCGAACACAGGAACGGCGCACTGTATTTAGTTTTGTAATCACTCTTATCGATGACTTGAAAACTATTCACTCCTATGATCAAATAGTCTATGTACCTTCGCGTGATTGCAATTTGAAATATCACGTATATCTTCTTTATCGAACGCGACCTAAATCATCCTTGAGAAAGTATTCGGTGAAAATCGATCTGTTTGTAAAGGAAACTTTGGCATACAGAGCAAGCTGGTACTTGCCAATTCAATTTTCTTTCTTACCTGTTAATCGCCTCTCAGCTCTACTTACTATACTAACTCGAAGACCTGACAGCTGTGCACACCCATGTCATCATGGTATTTGTACCACTTACGAGGGTACGTCAGATCAGTTCTGTCAATGTGATTCTGGCTGGTCAGGTCCACTGTGTGAAATTCAAATGCTTTGCACTTGTTCAACTGATTCGCGCTGTGTAGGATTTGCTAATAGTCATTCAATATGCGTTTGTCCTACGGGCAAATATGGTCCGCGATGCTATCTAAACCATGTATCATGCCAACCAAATCCATGTGAAAATGGCGGACAATGTGTAACGACGGATACACAAGTACCGAGTCATAATTTCACTTGCTTCTGCCAAGAGGGCTTTTCTGGACTGACGTGCCAACTACGAGATTCTCGAATCGATATTTTATTGAAAAATCTACCGATACCGAACTATGTACAGGGTCATTTTATAACTGTGCAGAACAATGATGATCCTTTGCGTACAACTATATTGAAGAAAGTTCCCGTAGATCGAAATATGATCACTTTTTACATGTCTACACCCTTTCATCTACTGTTCGGGCAAATCCATTCAGATTACTATTTGCTGGCTATACATGCTATTTACACATCATCTACGCACATTATATCTATACCTACACCAGCCCAACGATGTGCTCTTCTACATGAGGTGTTGAACTCTACTTTCCTCGGTTATCCACTACGACGACGAGTGAAATACTATCATCTACCGTGCTTAGAACGACACGAACTGTCGTGTTTCTATGATGAGACGTTAATGTGCCTGTGCACAAACGAACGGCATGCCAATTGTTTTGAATTCGCTCATAATATGACTTACGACTGCCAGGTTACGAAATATTGTGAAAATGACGGTAAGTGCTTTCAAGATCATCCTTTATGTCCTACAACATTTCTGTGCGTATGCGCCGAATGTTACTATGGTTCGAAATGTCAATTCTCCACCATAGGTAGTGGACTCTCTCTTGACACTATCCTTGGGTATCACATCAGTCCATATATTTCTATCCGTCATCAACCTTCAGTTGTACAAATAAGCATCGCTATCACAGCAACAATGTTTGCATTAAGTCTTTTAAGTAATACCCTATCCATTTTTACCTTTCAACGAAAGAAGATACGTGAAACTGGGTGTGGAGTTTATTTATTAGTGTTGTCAATGATCTCTTTGCTGACTATGACTGTATTCATTCTTAAATTCTGGTTACTTCTTCTCTCTCAGATGAAAATAATTATTCATCCATCTACTATTCATATCAATTGCATATGGATTGAGTTTCTCTTGAAATTCTTACCTCATATGGGCGATTGGCTTTCAGCTTGTGTTGCTATTGAGCGTGTAGTTACGATATATTCCGGCGCAAACTTCAACAAAGAAAAGAGTAAGAGAATTGCTAGATGGATTGTTAGCGTCGTTCTGCTGTGCACTAGTACTACAGCTATACACGATCCTCTGCACCGGAAACTGATTGATGACATGGAAGACCAACGTACTTGGTGCATAGCTACATATTCGCATAATGTTCAAATCTTTAACCGAGTGGTTTATGTTATTCATTTTTTCGGCCCATTTGCTGTTAACTTCATCTCAGCAAGTTTGATCATCACTAAAATGGCTCGTCAAAGATTTGCAACTCGTCAACAATTAACTTTGAGACAACATTTATGGCAGCAATTATGTGAACACAAGCATCTCATCATCAGTCCATGCATTCTCATCATTCTTGCTTTACCCCGTCTAATACTTTCTTTTATTTGGAATTGTTTGAAATCAGCTAGGGATCCCTGGTTTTTCTTGGGAGGCTATTTACTTTCTTTCGTTTCCCCCGCAGTCATCTTTGTTGTATTCGTACTTCCATCATCTATGTACAAGGAAGAGTTCAGCAATTCAATGAAAACAATCTTTTGTCGAAAAAGACATAACTGATAGTGCAAATGCTACTCTGCTAACAACGATATGAACTCGATTCAAAACTTGCAGAAATAATCTCTATATTTAAATACAAATATATAATATTATTACATTTCTTTTTCTTTTTCTTCGTATATACATTTTTTCTTAGTCACATGCTCAGTAGATGATCAAGACGATTAACTAATTATATCTTGAGGGTGTGGGTAATCTAATCATTGCACACGCACACCCTCAAGATGAATTTTATGAAGGAAAGTAGATTGATCTTAAGTGAATGATATGATCTATATATTTATTTAAACGACAAATAGCCCATCAAAACAGACAGTCGAAGAACGATGTCCGAAAGATATATTTTTTAATTATTGAGAATTATGGATTTGTATATAATTGTACAATGTCTGTTGCATTTAATTCACGTGAATATAATCGAACTTCATCAATACTTCCATAAAACTGTTGATTGAGATATCCACAAGTAGTATTCAATAGTGAATTTCCAAAAGTAAGTGTTACCGGAGAATCATTAGTTGAATATGTTGTCATAATTGATCTATATAGACTTCCATTAACATATAATTTCATTCCATGTATTGTTGAAAATGTATAAATAATATGATTCCATATACCAATATGCATCACTGGTCCGAGAATAATATTATTCATAGTACCATTAAAGATTTGAATTTGAATCGTTCCATTATATAATAATGTAATCATTTCTATGCACTGAATCGCATTGGAAAGGTAAACAATAGAACTAGTGTCAGTCAATGAATTTATTTTAAACCAAAGAGATAAAGATAGAGGCCAATTGGATGTACCTAAAAGAACAAGCCCAGATAGTTGAAAGTAAGAACCATTCGTAGGAAAATCAATAGCTTGATTGACGATGCCTGAAGGAATTGACACTGCACCACCACCCCAACTTCCATTGATGTAATTAGGGCCAGAATCTATCAATGATGCATTGGAAAGAAATCGATGATAGGTAACAAGTGTAGCATCATTAAGAATTTCGCTAGCATTTTTTACACGAGAATTGTATAACATTTGATCAATATATCCAGTAAAGAATTTGTCATAAGCCGCACCCTTACCCATTTCCCGACAGCCGATAGTTAGATTGACAAAGTCTGCTCTAAGAGATCCATTCGAATGTTGAGCATGTTCTAAAATACCATTAAGATAAATAAATTTTTTGTTTGTTATCAAATCGTAAATCAATGTCACGTGAGACCATTTATTTACTGGAAACACTGTCAAACCACTGACATCATCATACCAAAATGAAAACAAAATCTTATCATATCTTATCATAAATAGTAAGCATTGATCCTTGCTCACATTAAAACATTGACTGATGAATGTAGTATCACTGGGCAATGCTATTGTCGGATAAATCCAGAATTCCCAAGTAAAACTCATATAACTCATGTTTAAGTACGGATAAACAATAACACATTGATTGTGTGTACCATTTAATGCTAAAGCTGAACCATATCCATTGATACCTGCTGTGTATGTTGGAGAATTAGACCCAACACCAATAAATTGACCACTTAAATCGTTAAATGTATTATCAAATGTCCAAAGAATAGTTTGTACTAGAAATAAATAAATAATCATATTCATTACAGTTAAGTTCTATATATTCAACTCACCAATTTGACAATAGCTACCGGTCCAATCATAGTAACATGTACAAACACCTGGAGAAGTACAATTTCCAAAATTTTCACATGGTGGAGAACAAACTGGTATTTCACAATATGTTCCATTCCTGAATATAAATTGTTTTCTAGAATTAGACTACTCAATAAATATTTACCATTCAGATGTACATAGACAGACGTTTGAAAATAGACACGTTCCATTATTCATACAATTTGAAGTACAACTTACTATAAAGAAAACAATTAATACGATCTAAAACAAAAATACTTTTAAAATGCTTTACCAGTTGTTTTATCCGTAGAAAACTGTTGTTCTGGAGGTATGATGAGAAAATGAAAACTTCCACCCAAACTGCTATTGATAGTATAGGATAATGAATAGTTAGAAAAAAGTAAACAAGTTTGATTCTGTAAACAAGTAATACCAACAATATTATCTGTTAATATCATCATACAAATACATTTATCACAGGAGCTATTTATCGATGCAATACTAGTCGCAGATGATAACAAAATCATATTATTGATAGAACCAACTTGTTTCGATTCAATCCAAGGTAGTAGAAAAATAAAGCATGGCATGATCAATAGTTGAGAAAACATTTGAAGAAATGTTCTGTAAATCTTTTTTTTAGTAAAACAATCAACCATTGAAATCAAATCATATATTATGCACGATTTTTGTTTTAGTATTTATTCTCATCTACCGTTTCACATATTCTTCGATCGAGAGAATCAAATATAGAATATATTATTTGCACAACCATCATTTAAATCATTACAATAGAACTAAAGCGATAAACATATTTCTTTACTTTAATTACACAGAGAAAATCGAGAAAGTATCCAAATAAATCTGAATAAATACCTCATAATAACAAGAATTTTTCTGTCGTTTTTTGTTGACACATATGACGATAGCGTGTCGTATTAATATGAGATTACTCATCGCTTTGAGATAGGATATATCGAGAAAATTATCTTTAGATGAGTTCAATAGGTTCACCTTCAAGGTCGGATTTAGACGATAGACTATCGTTGGACAATTCCCAGTGGTCTCGATCGTGTTAGGTCAAATATGAATGGCAACTATGTAGAAAAGAAAGAAAATGAACAAATAACAAAAGAGTATGACGAGATGATCAATAGTCTGAAAAGAATAAAGAAAGGACAAAAAGTCACGTCTTCTCTCTTTCTTTTCGGTGACCAATGAAACGTTATGTCTTTTTTCTTTTTACATTGAAACGAAAGAGAAAGAGTGCATATTTCGATATCATTTCGTAGAAATTTTCAAACATATTTGTTGCTCTTTTCGACTGTTTCAATCGTGTTTGCCATCTAAAAGTAAATTATCATACAAAATATTTATTTTATTCTTTGTATGTTATGTAATTGTGGTAGAATATATAATTTATTAATTATATTGAACTGGGAATTATGAATGTCTTTTTAGATTTATTGTATAACAATGCATGATATAAAATCCATCCTTACAGATATAGTTGATGTACTCATTGTCGGAGGTGGAATTGGTGGTCTTGTCACGGCTTTATGTTTACATCGTGAAGGTTATTCAGTTCGCGTTCATGAACGAGTGGCAGCAGTAGAACCAATTGGATTCGGTTTAAACCTTCAACCATTTAGTGTGAAAGTATTGTATGAACTCGGATTAGAACACGAATTAGATGAAGTTGGTATTCAAGGAGCCAAAGCTCTTTTTTATTCACGTCATGGACAACTTATTTATAGTGAAGTGAAAGGTATTGAAGCAGGTTATAAATGGCCTACATATTCAATGCATCGTGGTAACTTTCAACAATTATTAATGCGTCATGTACGTGACGAAGTAGGCGAAACATCCGTTTGTTTAAACCAGAAATTGATTGCTTTTCGATCGTATTCCGATTATGTGGAAGCAGATTTTGTTAATCCACGCACAGGCGATATAAATACTGAACGAGCAAAATTATTAATAGGCGCTGATGGAATCAATTCTACGGTACGAAAGATTTTATATCCCAACGAAGGACGTCCTCTCTGGAGAGGCAGCAAACTATATCGTGGTGTAACAGAAACGGATAAACTGTACTTAGATGGACGAACCATGATTTTAATGGGGAATCCAAATGATATTGAATTTGTTACGTATCCTGTAGGTAAAAATACAATAAATTGGGCTTGTGTTGTTCGAGTAGACAAACCAGATGTACAAACAACATCGGTAACACCTGATTGGAACAATATTGGTCATAGTGAAGATCTTCTTCCATTCGTATCACATATGAAACTCGATTTTCTTGATATTCGTCATCTAATACAATCATCTATTATTATCAATGAATTTCCGATGACTGATCGTGATCCGTTACCACGATGGACACATGAACGTGTAACTTTACTGGGCGATGCTGCTCATCCTATGTATCCAAATGGAGGTAATGGTGCTTCTCAAGCTATTCTCGATGCTCGTGAACTTACTCTTTCGTTTCGTCAATATGGAATCACTCCAGAAGGTCTACAAGCGTATGATGATCGTCGACGTCCTGCTACAAATACTGTTGTTCTCGCAGCTCGTCAATATGGTTCTGAAGAGATATTAAAAATTGTCGATGAACGATCTTCACATGAATTTTCCAGTTTATCTGACGTCGTTTCAACAGAAGAACTCGAAACTATAATGTTGAACTTTAAAAAAGTGACTGGTTCAAATATACAAAAACTTAATCAAGAACCTTCACTCTTTTAACATTATTATTCTTATACTGTCTCATAGAAGGAATAATACTGAATATATGTAAAGTTATAATTCATGTAATAAACTATGTGGCTGGTACGCCAATCATTTTTTATCTGTACATTTAGAAATGTGTAAATCTTGAGGGTGTGGTGTGGGTGTGGGTGTGAGTATGAGTTCGGATTTGTGCGTGGATGCGCATAAAAGCTAAACTAATCAAGCGCACCCACCTAGCACTCGTACCCGCACCCATCCACACCCATACTCCAATTCTTTAAATGCTCCTGGATATATCGAAGATTTCGAAATCATTTTTCGTTTCATTTTATTTTCTTCAAATTCAAGTCGATTGGTTTTGGATCAATCTTTTATTGAAATACATTTAATGAGCATCCTTGTGAGAAGTTCAAGAAAAAATTTCATCATTATGTCTAAAAGTATTAAATTGCTCAGTGAAGTAAAGAGAATTGAATAGATTATAATGACATCTATTCAAATTTCATAAAGAATAATCTTTTTTTGTTATTCAGTGGAAATTACAAAATTATTTGTATCTCAACTCATATAAAAGACGAACGATCAATAAAATTCATCTTTTTCAAAGAGACTCAGTTTTCATTCAATGTCCATTAATATTAAAATTATTTTCATGATGAAGATCTCTTATCTCTCGAAAAAAGGTTTTCTTCGTTCTTTTACTACCTACTGATATTTATTGACATTGACTCATTTTGTTTTGTATAAATAAATACACAGATAAAATGAGAGTAAATATTCATTTCATATTCAAATTCTTCAATAAATGGCAACAGAGAATAACAAAACACAATGTTCTGTGTGCAACAAAGAAAACAATACATACAATTGTAAAAAATGTTCAAATGAGTTCTGTCTTCCACATTTTACAGAGCACCGACAAAGGATTGAGGCACAATTAGAGGCAATTATTAACGATCACGATCAATTTCAACAAACAATTATCCAACAAAAACGAAATCCACATAATTCTTCTTTAATCGAACAAATTAATCAATGGGAAATAAATTCAATTGAGAAAATTCAACAAACAGCACAACAATGCCGAGAAACACTGATGAAATTAACACAAAAATTGATCAATAATGTTGAAAGACAGTTCATTGAATTATCTAAGAAATTAAAAGAAATTCGTCAAAAAAATGAATTTAATGAAATCGATTTAAATAATTTTCAATTAAAATTAACACAAATCACTGAGGAATTTCTTCAACCATCAAATATTTCTATTCGACAAGATTCACAAGAATTTATCAAGAAAATTTCAGTTATTTCATCATTCGGTATGTTTATTCAATTATTTCATTTATTTAGAGAGAAAAATTTCAAATGTTGAAAATGAACAATTATAACATCGAGAGAAAAGTCTAAAAATACATCATACCTAAATTATTTGAATCTGTGTTTCGAGGATATACTGAGATCTGTCAAACTATTTCAATATGAAAACAACTCTTCAAAATAATTTTGTTTTTGAAAAATCAAATAAATTTTCCTTCATAAATGAATATCATTTCGCATCCAAATTTTCTCTCTTTATATCTTTATTGAGAAAATTTAAACTTTGCTTTGTTTTTATTTTAAATTACTGCAAAAACTTAAACAATTGCTCTCCTAATCTAAATAATTATTATTTATTTTTCTATTATTGTCAAATAAAATCATTCTATTAAGAGTCTTATCACCCAGTTCAGTTTACAATTAGTACAGCGACTATACCAAAGAATCCAATAACAACAAGCCAAATATTAACTCAATCTCAAGTAAAACAAAGTATGTTTTATTATCTTTAAAATTAACATAGAACTTTTTCATAAATTATTTTTATCAATTAAGTACTAATAAAAATTAAAAAGAATCTGTTTCACAAATAATATCCTTATTATATTTATACAGTTTATTCAAAATATTTATCGATGTTAGTAAAAATAGTTGTACTAAATGTTTTCAATTGATTGTTTAGTTTGAGTTTTTATTTTCAAATATTAAAATTAAAGTTAAGTTCATTTTGTTTTCAAACTATTAAAATTTTCCAAATAAAAAAATGCAATTGATTTTAATGAAATTTCTTTTGCTGAAAATCAAATTTTTATATTTAATTAAAAATCTCGATTGAATGAAGAAATTATTTGAAATTAATTTTAACAAAATGGAAGTTTTATTTTATTAAAACAAACTCAAACACAATTTGTTCGTCTTATTTTCGTTCTTTTTTTTCGTTTAAAAATAATGAAAAAGAATTTATTTTAGAACTAATTCAAACAAAAAAGAGTAAATTTAAACAATCTGCAATTACTGTTGCTGGAGGAAATGCACAAGGACAGAAATTAAATCAACTGCGTTATCCTTGGGGGATCTTTGTTGATAATGATAAATCAATTTGTATTGCTGATTGTTATAATCATCGTATTGTTAAATGGAAATTGAATTCAAATAAAGGTCGAGTCATTGTAGATGGAAATCAAAATAATCAATTGAATCTTCCAACAAATATAGTTTCTGATAAAAAAAATAATTCTTTTATTATTTCTGATCAAGGGAACAGACGAGTAATTCGATATTTTGATCAAAATCAAGAAATTCTTATTTCAAATATTGATTGTTATGGTTTGACAATCGATAAAAATGGATTTATTTATGTTTCTGATTATGAGTATCATGAAGTAAGACGATGGAAACAAGGAGATAAAATAGGTGAATTAATTGCAGGTGGAAATAGTCAAGGAAATCAACTTAATCAACTGAATTCTCCTACTTTTATCTTTATTGCTGAAGATTATTCTCTTTATATATTAGATCATAACAATCATCGTGTAATGAAATGGAAAAAAGATGCAAAAGAAGGAATTATTGTTGCTGGTGGAAATGGTCAAGGAAATAGTCTCAAACAATTATCTTATCCTCAAGGAGTGATTGTTGATCATTTGGATCAAATCTATGTGACAGATTATAGAAATGATCGCGTTATGCGTTGGTGTGAAGGAGATGAAGCAGGTGAAATTGTTGTTGGTGGAAATGGTCAAGGAAATCAATCAAATCAATTAAATGGTCCCGCAGGTTTATCATTTGATGATGAAGGAAATCTTTATGTTGTCGATCACAATAATCACCGAATCCAAAAATATGAAAAAGTTTTAATTTAATTTAATAAAATTTCGATTTTTATTTTTAAACATAAATAAAAAACACTTCTAAATAGAAGTTTTATTAGATTTATTTTTGTGATTCTATGATTTATTAAGAGAAAAGGAAGAGAGAAGAAAAAAGATAAATCAATAAGAATGAAATCTATATTAGTTAACAAAATGATTTATCGAATTTAATTGAAATGGAATATTTAACAGTAGAAAACAATTCAAATGATTTTATAAAAGTATTCTAATTCACTTTTACAATTTATCTTATTCTCAAAAGTAACAGTATTTTCGAGTCAAAATTTTTAATATCATCAGTTTAATGTTCAACAAGCAAATGTACACATATCTCACGAATTAGTTATTTTATTTTATTGACTGAACTTCTGTTCTTTACTCAATAGTTTTCAACTCATTGAAAAACAATACATATTCATCTTCGAATTTTGAAGGTGAACAAATTATCAATTTAAAATAAATGTGAATCAATTCGTTGACAGATTTCGATTTTTACTTCTATTAGTAAAACATTCGAACTTGATATTGAATATATGAACTATATGGTGTGAGTGCGATCTCTAACTGATGTCCACACTCATATCCCTGCCAAAACGAGAAAATATATTTTTCTTTCTGCGCCGTTCTTATCGACTTTTAACAACCAATGATTTTTTCTTACGTGCTCGCTTCGTTTTTTATGCAATAGGCATCAGAACAAATAACAAGACACGTCGACGGTCTCGTTACTTTCTTCCTAGAGTCAGAAAAGAAATAAATAAAAAAAAAACGATTATTGTTGTTTCATACAATATATATTTGTTCTGAATCAGTTTTCAAATGAAATTTTTCAACCAACGCAAGATAATAAACATGATTCGGAGTTTTAATCATACAATAAGATCGAATGAGTTCAAATTAGAGAATCGGAATATTGATGACAATTAGAAATTTGTCAGTTAAACTTTTAAGATTTTCTTTCTGCATCATAAAAATATTACTATCGAATCAGTTTCTAAGCCGATGTATTTCTTCGATTAAAAGAAACTACAACGTGTATGTGTTTGTACGACGGTCAAACGTTAGAATTTGAACAAATCTAATTCGAATCTCGAAATCTATTGAGATTCTTATATTGTCAGAAACTGCCGAAACGGTTCTTTTCTTCACTAAAATATCTTTGTTCATAGAATAACGATGTCGCTAGAAATGAAAGGATGGACTTGTAAAATAAAATGAGTTCCTGATCTTGCATGTGTTGCTGTCAGTATCAAGAGCTTCCTTATATGAAACGTTTTCTTTCTACTGTTTTTTTTACGGAAGAGCAACAGCAATTAGTCACGATTGGCGACCGTCTGTAGCACCGACGAATGACTGATCACTGATTTGTGATGTTACACAAATAATACTTGAAAAAAAGTCATTAGGAAAGATCCTTTGTATTTTGCTTTCCAGAATTTGAAAGTAATGTGGATTGTTTAGAAAGATCGTGAAATTGAAGTTATAATCGATAGATAACAATAAGATGCTATTTGTACGGTGGATGTGGATGGATGTAAAGATGAAAAAAGAATTATACGCACCCCCATCACGCCATTTATTACTGTGCAAATTGTAAAAAAAACATAAAACATTTTTATCATGTTTTTTGACATTTAGACAGCAGCCTAAGGATTTGCCGAGGCGTATTGTGTGATAACATAAAGATGATATATTGCACAGGTGAGCCAATAAATTGTAGCGATAACATGTATAATTATATCATGTGATGCTCTTTTTTAATTTATTATCTAAAACTCTATATAAAGAGAGTCTATGAGATCATATGAAAGTTCTCATTTCTAACTTTGCAAAGGACTCAGAAAAGGTAAGTAGTCATTAGTATCTTTTATAGATAAGTTCTCATCATCAATTCCTTCGATACTTTATTTTAATTTTGGCGAATGAAACTCTTTATCAATTTTGTATTTTGTCAGTCTTGTCTAAAATATATGTTGCCGTTTGCTTTCGTTCTTATCTGTAATCATCATGAAGCAATATATCATTTAAGCTATTTGCAACATTTAAGAAAATTATACGACAGTTTTTTAACATGCGATACAAGAATATATAAATTAAATTTCGAATAGTTGAGACTAAACAACAGGAAATAAAGGCTGACTTATTGCCATGATACTTTTCGTTTCTCCTGCCTAAATCTTTTTCATGTCTTGATCGACTAATCAAATAACATTGGTCATTTCTTTCATATTGATTAGTTCCTTTCAAAATCAGAAATATATACGCACGATGGAATCTACTTCAACAGTACAAAATATCAACATTGGTGAAGGGGAGCAACCGAAATACCCATTGTTGAAACAGTAAATAACTTACATTTCGTACATGTTTTGATTTTATTGTTCATAGTACCTGGTGGCAATCTGCATTCGATCTGGTACAAAACAAAAGATTCTGGATTATTGTTCTATTATTATTCTTTATAAGTGGCACGGCATTTGTCTTAATGTCTCGTCACAAGTTCAATGATGAGAACGCAGTCGAAATTGAAGATTACGGTAAAATAGTTTAGAATAAACAACAGGAATCTAGGATGCGGGTGAAATTCCTCATCCACACACTTTTTATCTATTTCCTTTTTGCTATAGTAAAGAAGCCTGGCATGCCAAGAACTAACCCTCAAACGGGTATGTTTACGGATGGTGTTCGTACGAGTTATCGCTCATTCATCATTAGAAAACGTCGTGAATATCTCGTTAATAACATTGAAAACTATGAATTGGAAATGAAAGACAATCATAAATCACCGAGATATTCATATAATAGCCATAAAAGTCAACGACCACGAACAAAACGCTTAAGTAAGACAGATACTGTGTGGTGTTTATGCAGTGATTCATTATTCCTAGCTTCTAAAATTTAACAAAAGGAAAATGATTATGTACGTTTCGATAGCTCTAAATAGAAAAATTCCAGGGATACAATTTCTTATTGCTACTTTGAACTTGAAGAAATGTTTGTCGTATTTATTTTTAGAAGATACGCGTTCACTTCAAATAGCTATTGTTGGAGCTGGTATTAGTGGTCTCAGTGCCGCTTTGACATTATTAGATTCGAAATTGTTTACTCCGAAAAACATTCACATCTACGATGCTAACAATTATATTGGAGGTAGAATGCATACAACATTATGGTTACCGGAATATCAAACATCAGAATGGTGTGGTGAATTTCTTGATAGTAATCATGATTTTATGATGAATTTAACTAAACGTTTCAATTTGTCATTGATTGATACGATCGATCCAACGGATTCAGATGGTTCTCGTGGAACATATTATTTCCTAAAACAGTTTTACAACGCTTCCGAGGCATGGCGCGATTATCAAGCAATCAGTGACACAATAAAACAACAATTAGAACTCATTGGTGATGTTAATTATAATGAAACTAATTCAGATGCAACATATTTTGATAATTTATCACTCTATGATTGGATAGAAAAATATATACCAAATGGCCATCAATCACAATTTGGTGCATATATTGATTCTGCTTATACACAAGAATACGGTTTAGATACACGTGAGCAAAGTTCATTAAATTTTCTTCTCGCTATCAGTCCTGAAAGTCAACCAGAAAACGGTCCATTATCTATTTATGGTCCTTCTGATCAACGTTACCGAATTAAAGACGGAAATTATTTACTACCAGAGGCTATTTCTAAATATTTAACGAAACAGAAAATTTCAATAAATCTCAACTATAATTTAACTAAAATATCAATAAATGATAATAAAAAAATTTCATTACGTTTTCAAAATGATGAAACTTACATATATGATCATGTTATTTTAACTTTACCAACGACAACATTAAAATATGTCGATTATAGCGAAGCTAAATTTGATTCATTAAAGAAACGAGTTATTAATGAATTAAAATATGGTACAACCACAAAACTTAATTTACAGTTTAAAGAACGTTTTTGGTTAAAATTATCATCCGATGGAGTGATTTATACAGATTTACCTTTTCTCAATTCATGGGAAGCGACAAGTGGTCAAAAAGGTGAAACAGGAATACTTACTCTATTTACCGGTAAGAAAACTTTTTATATATTTCAGTGAAGAATTAAATTATTTCGCATTATCTAATATTTCTAAATACTTTCTTTTTATTTTAGGTGGGACAATCGGAACTTCATTTGAACCAAAAAAAGGAATTAATACATTGACAACTAGCAATTGTAATAAGAATACATTTTTATATATCGAAGGTTTCTTAGATGATTTAAATGAAATATGGCCAAATGCATCCACATATTATACTGGTAAAGGTACCATTTCAGCACCATGGGTTGATAAACATTTTTTGGGATCATATCCAGCTTACACACTTGGACAATATTCAACAATATCTGGTTATGAAAAAGAACGACAAATGAATATACATTTTTCAGGAGATTACACATCACCCGATTTGCAAGGTTTTATGGAAGGTGCAGCTTCAGAAGGAGACCGAGCAGCTAACGAAATTATTGCTGATTATAGTTAGTGCAAACAAGAAATCAGACATCATACAAGCTACATTGTATTTTTGCATTCATTTATATATCAGCTTGATTAAAAATAATTTTAAATTTTGAAGAAGTTCATTTAAAGCTATTTCATTTCGATAGTGTGGGCGTGGATGTGAGTGCAGGTGTTGATATCTCTTCTCTCAATTGTATTATAATCAATACGTATCATTCTCAAATACTTATTCTTATATAAATAATAAGAATAATATCACAGAAGAAGGAATTGCAACTTTGATTACTCTTTATATTGGTTTAGTAATCATTTGTCAATTATTTACTATAATATTTCTACTTGCAAGACAACAAGTTTTCACTAGTTGCTGATAATATTAACTAATAGTGCATATATTTCAATAAAAAACGTTACAAGAAATTGATGAGATTTTATGTATCATCTACGTCTTCTAACTTACTAACAATTCCATTAAGAAGTTCAGCGATTCTCTCACTAAGAATATCATAGTCATTAGAGATACCAACACCCATAAAAGGCAACCATGCTTTGTGTTTCTTGCATTTATGCTTTTTGCTTCTAACACGTAGTTTTCCATCATCACGTATGTTTGGCATCGCAACTTCATTTACGTTTATACGTAAATAATTCATTGTTCTTTTAATAGTTTGTAGACTGTTGTTCTTTTTTCGTTTTAATTCGTCAATCTCTTGCTGTAATCTTCTCTTTGTAGTAGACAATGTTTCATTCTTGTTCTTAAGTTCTTCATAGAGTTTTTGAGTTTCAGTTAGATTTTGTTTTAAATGTTCGAAATGTTTTTTATTGTTTTCATATAGCTGTTCCAGATTGTTATAAAATGATTCTTTTTCATTGATTATTTGTTGATGTTCATCCTTCAATTTCTTAATCTCCTGTTCATGACGATTTTCCATCTCTCGTATTTTTGTTGCTAACTGAACAGGATCAATGAGTGCTTTAGCTGTCGTAGCAAGAGCAAATCGATCAGCAATAACTTGTTTTAAACGATTTTTGTCTTTTTGAGAGTAGTACGCAATATCATTTCCATGATCCTTCTTTTCTATTTTTTTAGCATTAACCAAATTTTCATGAGTACATTCTTCATCGAACCAATCAACTACGTCTGATCGGAATAGATATAGTATCGGTAACTCTAAATTTCGACAGTATTCAATTAATCGTGGTAAATCACCATGTAAACTGCATCGTTTATCATGGCCATCAATAAAAAAAATAACGCCATTGATTTCAAGTGTACTTTTAAGATGTTCATGCCATTTACCTGGCTCATTGATTTTTAAACCATTCGTATCATAAAGAATAATTTCACAAGCTGGAGAAATTGTCCTAAAAGATCCTCTTTGATCATCACCTATTCTATAACCATATCGATTCGTCCCTGCAGGATATGATGTTCCACATAGATTATTAATTAACGATGTTTTACCACTTCCTTCCAAACCCATAATGAGAAGTTTACGCTCATTTTCATACAAAGATTCTTCGATATTTTCGTCGTCTTCTAAATAAATGGAGTGCTTGCTAAAAAGAATAAAAAATGAATGTATCATATATGAATATAGAGTGTGCCAGTTGTAGTAGTCTTACCTAATACCATTAACGAATGACTTCACCTTGTGCTCAATAGATGGTACGTACATAGTAGTATGGTATGTCTAAATGAGATGTAATTACTACAGTCATTTAACTGAAAAACTATCGATTTTCATGACAGTTTGATATTTCGGAGGTTGAAGATATATTGATAAAATAAGAAGATGACGTTTTGTCTTAAAACATAGCATCTTGCCAAAAACAGTTTATTCAAGAGCGAATGAGGTATTTATGTGGTACCTTGTGTTAAAGATAGACATTTTGTATTCTCAAGTGAATCGACTATCAATGAACATTACTTATAACGATTCAGGGAAGTGTACGAAGTCAAGAAAGTGAACGAAAATATACGAGAGGTATCGAAATCAAACGAGTATAAAAATAGAAGAGAAAAGCACAGGCAATCAAAGGAACTAAATAAAGACATAACACAAAAAAAGATTTCAAATAAGCAATACATGTAAAACAACTATATGAAACATAAAAGCATTTGAAGGACTAAAATAAGTGTAAACAACGAAAGAAATAAAACAAGTCGAAGGACAAAACGCAATAATAGTTAAAATTGTTTATATTCTGAAGACGTAAAACAAGTCGAAGGACAAACAGGAATAATAAATGAAAGTGTTGTATATTTGAAAGAAGGTAGATGATGAAAAAAACTTCAGAACTTGAAAGCAAGGTGTGAGTATGGGTCAGCCCGTATGTGTGAAGTAACTAAGAATTAGACTTACACATCGACCCACATCCTCAATATGATCAAAGTGGATATTAGTGAAGACAACTTATATACGTTCTTATGAATTTGGATATTTGTGACGATATTGCTGATTTTTCAACCTTTATGATGTGTGCACTAAACGTTTCGGTTAATTAAATCGTTATTCTTTGTTACTTACAATTCTTGAATGATTTAGTTTCCTTTTTCTTTTTAATAACTACATACTTTTAATAAAGATGCAAAGGTATATATATATTTATCGTGCAGAAAAGTCGATGTAAATTGAGTAATCTTTTCATATCTTATATTTTTCATTTGTTATTGAATATGATTCAGCTCCAATACATTGGTTACCTTTAATATTTTATTAAATATAATCCTATGAAGAACGTTGGTACCTCGAGAAAATTTATTTATCTTTCACTAATACGATGAAATTGAATTTTAAAAAGAAAAGATTGATTACTAAGCGTATTTAGTGAGAAAATAATTTCTTGTCTGTGTCTTATTATTTAAAATAATCCGATCTCTATGCTTCAACTAATGAAATTTTTTCAATTATCGAAAGAAAATCTCATAAGTCGTCATTTACGAATAAACGACTTATACAACAACAACAACAAAAAATCTTGAAAATGTCTTCTTCAATTGATTTCACCGCATCATTAACATCTATACAAACAAATTTATATCGTATTGGTGGTCCAATTATAATAATTATAGGAACGACAAGTTCTATAATTAGTTTAACTGTATTTTGTAAAAAAGTTCTACGTAAAAATCCTTGTTCAGTTTATTTTGTGGCATTTAACGTTATTAATTTTCTCTATGTTTACGCATCGATATTACCAACATCACTCTCATTAGGATATGCGCTTCATTTTGTCACAGAAAATCTACCGATTTGTCGGTTGCTTATCTATACTACATTTCTATTTGATTGTCTTAGTCCATTTTATTTAATAATGGCATCAGTTGATCGAATTTTAATTACTTCATCAAATGTTTCTGTACGACAACGCAGTACTTGTCGTCTTGCTTATAAATGTATCATAGGAGGAGCTTTATTCTGGATGTTATTTCAGAGTCATGCATTAGTTTGGACAAATATTTTACAAGTTGAATCGAATTACTTATATTGTTATTTTTCAGCGGGTGTATATTTTACATTCATAGCCTATTATTCACTTATTATCAAAGGAATCTTTGTACCTTTATTAATGGCATCTTTCGGATTGTGGACAATAAAAAATATTCGAAATATACGTCGTATAAGAGTTAATCCTCATTTAATCATACCGAGAGTTCGGACAACAAATACTACGACGACTTTACTTAACTCAAAAGATCGTCAACTTGTACTTATATTACTTGTGAATATCATTATTTATATTGTATTTAGCTTTATGTTAACAGCCGTTGCCATGTACGAACAAATTACGCAGAATGATACGAAATCTTTTGAACAGATACAAATTGACTTATTTGCAAGAAATATTGCGATCTTCAGCACTTATATACCATTTTGTGTTAATTCCTATATAAATTGATTCGTGTCCAACACATTTCGAAATGAAGTCAAACATATAATTTTAGGTAAATGAACTTGCAACATTATTTAACTAGTTTTTATCTTCTAACCTAATTATTTATCAAAAACTAATTAAAATAAATGCGTATTAATCATGACTAAAAGCGAAAAGTTATATGGAGGTAGATGTGAGTGGGAACTGTAGCGTTCGTGAATAGAATACACTCGCATTCACCCACACCCATCCTCAAGATATAAATCGCTTCTCGTTTCGAATCGACAGTTTTATTAAGACGACAAAGCATAAAGAAAATATATCAGAACGAAATAGAAAATAAAAAGCAGACGTATCAGATGGTTTATCGTCTTGATTAAATGTTTTGTTTAAAAAGATAATTGAACAACTAAAATACTAGATTTATCGACCGCTGTTGTGAACTCTCGAATTTCAGTTGACATTTATTCTTCTCTTGATATTTGCTCGTTTTCACACGCCATTCACCTTCGAAATGACTCGCCGTTGCGTTCCAGGTCAGTTGAATTGTTACGTTACCTACATTCCGTTGATAGGTTTTTGTTAGATTCATTCGGCATTTTTTATTCGAATAAGTTCCAACGATCATAAATGCACCAACTTCGTCAGATCCATTTCCGCTCACTTTGAATATACGAGGATCGAATAATAGAGAAAGCTGATACCAATCATGCCATTTATCATACTGATAATTTCGACTGGACCAAATGCCTGATCGAAAAATATCTTCGGCTGGTACATTCAGTACCTGACTGTTCGCCCTATTTCTTCTACGTTTTGAACAGCATCTGCAAAACAAAAATAGGATAACCAAACCAGCACAACCCCCAGCAATGCTACCCACAATAATATCAATCTTGCGATTTTCCTTCGATCCACTTCCATAATAACCACTACTGCGGCTACCTATATTCATTTAAACAAAGGTTACTTTTCTATTAACTACTTTAGATACTCACCTCGTACACCACTTCTACGAGAGCCACCTCTAGCTCCTTGACAGATACCTAACTCGATCATAATATAGGCAATTAAGAGTAGACGAACAAGTAATGGTATTTGCATTATAATACTCCGCCAATTTTAATCTTAAATATAAAAGAATGCAACGACAAGTTTCGCTGAGTAAATCTAGCTTATTATTCATTCCAATTGCTGAACGCAGAATCGTTCAATTTTGTTATGAAAAACTCAGTAACTACCAACAGAATAGGATTCAAAACAGCATTAAATATATATATTGAATGATCCACATTCACATTTTGTTCATTTTTGCTAAAAGAAACGGCTGTTGAAGGCAAATGCTGCTGAAAAGCGGAAGAATTGCGGAACAAAGTTTAAATAGCGAAACAGGTGGCACTTATATATTTTTGCTTCCTTCAAAATTCAAATGACAAAACGTCGACTTTGCCTCTGTTAATAAATCTAACGTTGTTAACACGTCAAATTGTCACTCACAACATCTGGTATTTCATCGACACTTTCTAGAAAAAGAGGAGAAAAGACACGTATAGTCTTGACTTGTAAAATGTCGACAAACATTCGCACAATTGATAATTTAGTGTTCTGCTTTTAGTTTCCAGTACTAACATGAAAAACTTTAAAAAAATGAAGCATGTGTTTTTGGACGACAATTATGATTGTGCAATCCTTATTTTATCGACTTTTAAAATAGAGGCTTATGAAAAAGGATGAGAAATAATGTTGCTGTTCACGATATGACGGAATCCAGACGTAAAAGAGAGAAAATAATTTTGATTTCATCTATATAAAACATGAAAAGATTTTTCTAAACGTTGTAAACTCTATCGTGAATGAATTGGGATTCGAAAAGATGATAGGTATCACTGGTCTATTGAGATAGAGTTATCCATGTGACCATCTATGGGAATTATCATCTTTTAATCATCAATTTTTTTCAAATCGAAATAAACAATTTTAACAAATATAAAAAATCAATGCTTTATTTCTAAATTAATATACTAATAAATATTGAGGGATTTTTGTTCTATTTAAACTACTGATATAGTTTTCAATTTTGGTTTTGTTCTTTAACCATAATTCTCTGAATTCCATCATGTATATCTTGTGGTGATTTAACAAGAATAATTTTTGATTCAGGTGCTAGTTGATGTATAACATTGAGAAGACGATTAAACCAGTGGAGTATATCTGCACGATCTGTTGGCACATCCTTTTCATGATATAGAGCAGATTGATCAAAACCATTGACATAACCACCTACAATGAAAATAAGACAGATTATATAAATTTAGAAGAATCCAACTAACCAATAGATATCGCATCCCATTGTTGTTCTTTAAGTGCAGCAATTACTTTTTGATCACTTTCCTTGTTGTTAACAAGACCAATAATTTTAATATTTTTATATCCTAATGCAACTAAAGATTTCTGTGCTTCCGCACCTGCTTTATTACCGGCACCAAGTGCTAAGATTTTCCATTCATATGAAGCGCCTGTAGATGAGACTGACCTGTTTATTATAACTGTTGGAATTGAAAAAGCCTAATGAAATACAAAAAATAAAAATCGAAAATAGATGATGATATGCACGTAAGTTTTATATTTATCTTCCACTCGCTATCGCATTCATCTATATCCTCAAAATTATTTTTTTAACTTAAATCTTACCTTACGAATCGAAAATAAACTACTAGTTATCAATCTTAAAGACATAATTTGCTTTCTTCAGTATTCTTTCGTGTGCGTTATAAGAAAAAAGAATATTTGTGACTTAATGTGTTGCGCTTCATTCGATTTTTTCCTCTTTTGCCTTCACCATCGATGCAATATTAATATTAATGCCCTTCCACGTGTCTTTTCTTTCTTTCTTTTTTTCAATGTCGTATTATTTTATACATTTTTTTCCTTTCGTTCTATTCATATTTATTATTAGATATCTATCGATTATATACGTATTCTTTTAGAATTGCAACATTGTATGTACACCGTTCTGCCATAATCATCTGGTATCTGGATAATATATTCATATATCGCTTTCTTTCTTCTGTATAAACGTGTATTTTATGTCATATCGATACACATTCCAGAGACGTATTCGTTGTTTTTCTTCAATAAAACTGTTGAGAAACGTCTTTTAGTTATTTGCATGAATTCTAGAGAGAGTAAAGGTTTTTCGATAGAACTTAGGTGAGATGCGCTTGGGACAAGAAGTTTAGTTGTACTAGTCAAATCTCATAAGAATGAGATGATTTTTTCGATTTTATTGAAAGATTAAAAAAGAAACATGTATGTTTTTGTTTAATGATTATTTTTAATTAAATCTGCTGCTCTTTCAGCAATTGCAATCGTTGGAATATTTGTATTACCCGATACATTAATTGGTATGATACTTGCATCGATAACACGTAGACCTTTAACACCTTTAACTTTTGTATCAGATGTGACAACTGTCATTTCATCGTCGTCTTTTCCCATTTTACATGTTCCTACAGGATGATAAACTGTGATTGTATATTTACGAATATATGATTCCCAAAATTGATCTTCATTTTCAGTTGTTTCGTTTCCATTCATTTCTTTTGCCAATGAACGAACAACATTTTTCAATGGTTCAGTTTGACAAACTTTCTTAGCTAATTTACAAGCTTCAATTAATTTTCGAACATCTTCTTTATCTTCCAAATACTTTGGATTAATATTTGGATGTGCAAGAGGATCACGACTTGCTAAAGTTATTTCACCTTTCGATTTTGAATGAAGAAGAGTAGGAAGATAGGCCATCGTCGATTGATGTTCACCACAAAGATGTGGACCGATATATTGTTCGTATACTTCGGGTTTAAAATTGAAATTTTGCAAAAGATTAGCATCAACTGTTAGTGGACAAAAATGTACTTGAATATCAGGTACTTGATTTTTATCTAAAAAAAACAATTCTTTAGAGAAAATATTTGGTGATCGGAGGGCAATGAAAGAGATTTCTGTAATCACCTCGAGTACACTTTAGACACGTTTCACTTTCAGGTGAACTTACCAGTTCCATCGATTTGATGCCAAGCTTCTGCTTCTACAACGCACGATGTCAGACGACCTTTTCCTTCAACTGCCCATCGTTGTAAATTTTCTGCAGTTAAATCTCGAGTTGAAAGTGTTGATATGTTAGTTGTATAAATAAGAACAGTCATAATATGATCTTGTAAATTCTTTCCAACACCAGGTAGATCAACAATAACTGGAATTTCAAGTTTTTCTAATTCATCACGAGGACCAATCCCAGACAGAAGAAGTATCTGAGGGCTTCCAACAGTACCAGCTGATAGAATCACTTCTTTACCCTGAATGACTTCTTCTTTATCAAGTGAACTGGCACGTTTAATAACGACGCCTAAATATATAGAAAATATTCATTTTAGAACAAAACGCAAAAAACATGGATTTCAAACCTTTTGTTTGCTTTTGTTCATCGACTAAGACGCGACAAGTATGTGCATTAATTAATACATGAAGATTGTCTCGTTTTATTGCCGATAACAAATAACCACTTGCTGTTGACCAACGTTTTCCATGTTTAGTTGAAACTTGTGACAATGTTACACATCCATTGAGAGATTCTTCAGCATTATAATCTTTCGTTTGATGAAATCCATTTTTTTCACATGATTCAATAAATAATTGATTGATTTCATTTGAATCTTCTAATAGAGTGACATCCATCATACCTTTATTTTCATCATGATTACGAAATTTATCATTTTCTGGAATTGAATTGATATCAGCTCGTTCTAATTTTTTAAAATATGGTAACATTTTTTTAAATGACCATTCTGGTAATTCCCAGCTATCATAATCATGTGGATCACCGCGAACATATTGCATATAGTTGATCGAAGAACAACCTCCGAGTACTTTTCCACGTGGCCAATTACCTTGTTGATTAATGCAATTAAAATGTGAATGAACTTGAGGTGTAGTTTTATATTGCCAATCAATATCACCACGCTGACAATTTCCACTAAAATACATGTGATATATTTTCTAATTCTTTTCATATAAAATTCTTTCTCTTACCATGCAGCTGGCATATGGATTATATCATTTGTATCGGCACCACCAGCTTCAATTAGAAGAACTTGTTTGTTATTATTTTCAGATAAACGATTGGCTAAAACAGCACCTGCTGAACCAGAACCAACAACTATATAATCATATACAATTCCATCAGTTTTTGTTTGAGAAAAATCACGTTCCCAACGTTGTACAACAGATGGATTTTCACTGATAACTGGCGCAGCAGCTTGTTCAGCAATATTTGTGTTCGACATAATTTATATGATGATAACTAAATCAAATGTAAAATGGAAAGGATGATACCGATTAAAATCATGTAAATTGTTAACAATAGACAGTTTAGGCTACTTGCGGTCAATCCTAACAAACAAAATCTTTTGTTTTCGTTATCAGGTTTATTCTGATATTTTACTTATTAAGCAATTTTTCTAAATCAATAACTATATATGAGGAAAAAACAGGTCGCATCGCTAGATTTTGAGCCTAAATAATTCATCAATTTCATGACAATACCTTACTCTCAGCTGAAATGCTGTCAATTAAAAACTTAGAATAAATAACAAAGCTAACGGGTTATTGCGATTCAGCAAGCGCCATCTTATGATGAATCAAATCGGTATGTTTTTAAACATTTAAGGTAACGAAAACGATGAAAATAACTAGTTTTATCAGTGACGAAGGAGAAAAATACTAGTGGTTTTTTTTCGTTCTGTCGTTCGTGCACGTTGTTTGTCGAACGAAAGAACGCATATATAAACATTTTCTATTCTACATATAAAGCAACTCGTAGGTGATGACGATTTATTCCATTTTTATTCAGATATTTGTTTGGAAAAAATTTCAACTTAATGTATAAAATATTTCATTTTCTTTCGCGACTATAATTTTATTAGATCGATGATATTTCTGTAATAAAAATAGGAAGTAAAAAAAACATTGGTATAATCGTCCACTTCCTTTATTTCTGATCAAAACAAAATGTTTTACCTGTATAGTAACGATTTGATTTTTAATCAAGTGTCAAAACCCAGTCTTTCATCATATATATATATATACGCAAACACAAAAGCAGTCACCCACGTAGCACCTCATTTTTAATGGTTACAAATCGAATTAATAATTTTCTTTGAATTCTATTATTCTTATAATGAAGGTTAAGGATTGATTTATACGAAAGCATTTTTTTATTTTGTTTTGAAAATTTTTCAATTTGGTGGGAAAGATGTCACCCACAGACAAGAAATTATCTCTATCCTATCACATACATTACAGTACTTTTGATTTTATGAATGACTACATCGAATATAGTCAACAACTATTGGAATTATTCTTTCAAAATTTTGGTTGTCAAAAGTTGAATATTATTCAAAATAAATATCATATTCAGAATCCGCATGAAAAAATATACTAGAAGGGTAGATGTGGGTGATGAATTCAAGGCACTGATACCCGAAAGGTAATAATAAACTTGCTTGATATAATAATGATATTTTCTCATAAACATTAATATATTTTGAATATAAGTACGCCATTGGTATAAGCTCATATGAATTATATTCGTCATCAAACCATCAGCAGCTTTCTTTCTCATCTTTTTTCTTTTTCATGTACCTGTCAATATATGATTTTATATTGTATTCGATTAAGCTTGTTTTTTCTAACAGAAAAAGTTTACCTTTATTAAATCTATGTAATTAATTTCTAAGTGCCCACATCCACATACAATTTTCCGCTCTCCACTTTATAGTACTGATGGCTTATGAAGGCCACACTATGTAAAAACACCATTGTTCTATCACATATGCGAAGAAAACATAGTTTGTCGTCTATAATGAAAGAAAATTTTGAGGGTGCGAGTGTGAATATAGGTGTGTCTTTGGCCACATCGATACAAACCTACCCACATCCTCACCCTCAAAAATTATTTGTATTTTTTGTGTTTCATTCTAAGACGACAAACAATTTATTCTCAGAGCTACTCATATCTTTTTTTCGTTCTATTCTGTTTTTCACCTTTACGTTTACTTTTAAAGGCCAAAAAGAATTCTCTAACAGTGACAATTATTAGAATCGTAAGAATGCATCCATGTATTATTCAACAGATCAGTAAAAAAGATTACAGTACAAAAACTGCTACTCCTATAATTTAGTTTAAGTGATTTAAAGATGAGTTGTGACTGTTCGAATATAAAACTCTTATTATGGGGTTCAATTTCTTTCAAATAATATCGTAGCATTAGTTTACAAAGTACTGAATTATTTTCTGTTTTAATTGAAGATCGATCGATCCCTGTATGGTATCGTGATAAGGGCTTATGGCAGCAATATCAGACAACGAAGAACATAAGATCTGAAGGGTGGATGTGAAAATATAGTATCTTTCATCCACCCACACCCACACCCACACCATCAAGATAAAATTCGAAAACAAACGTAAACGCATCACATTAGAGTTACTGGGAAAGATTTTGTAAGACGGTGTGTGTATTATATTTATATAACACCCCTAACAGTTACACTGCTATCTATACCCATACCCGCACGATGGTCAATTCTATCCCGTTTTTTCCCTTTCTTTCATAGTTTTGACTCATATCTGATATGATAAAACATGACGCCATGTATATAATTTCGACAACAACAAGAAAAATGTTTTTTCATCCCACTCTGAGAAATAACGAATCTTTTTTTACCTATAAATTTTCAATAACTTTCAGTCATTGCAGTCACTTTACAGCTTAACAACAAACAGTTATGAATGATTATAATCAAAATAAACATTGTGAATTTGGTACGCACAATCCTACATTAATGGAAAACCCTTTTTGGAAATGTATGGTATGTGATCCACATCTAATTGGCTACGATGGTCGCGAAAACAATAACGATGATTTTGTGGATGACATTGATACTTGTCATCCTCAATGGTGTTTTTCTCGGTTCGGAGCTACACAAACTTATTTACCAGATGGACGGCTGATTCGTATTGGAGGTGAACATGAAGATTGTTATGATGATGACTTTCAAATTTATAATGATGTTGTTGTCATACGAAATCCACATATAGTGCAAGGACCCCCTATGTACTCTTTACCTATACCGGATAACTTTCCACTGGAAAGAAAACAACATGGCACTTTATCAAGTTCAGATATATTAGGAACAACGAAGGTTGAAGATGTTACTATCTATGGATATCCTGAACATGTGTTTCCACCAACAGATTTTCATACAGCTACTTACGTGAAAAATAATGAGACCAACGATGAATTCATCTATATTATTGGCGGTTTGGGATATTTGACATCCTCTCATCGTAGAGAGACTCATGTCTATTGTCTCCGTCTATCAGATTTTAGCATACAACGGCTAAAAACGACAGGCAATGGACCAGTGGGGTGTACGGAACGTCATCGTGCGACATTAGAAACAGTTAGAGGTCGAAAAATGATCGAAATTTGTTTGAAAAACCATCGACGTTACAGATTGGACATTGAAACTGCTGTATGGGAACCGATTGATGACTAAAAACTAGAATTTTGCCAACTGTACACCTATCTAACCATGATATATAGTTTCTAAAAATTGAAAATACAACTTTCCGAAATACTTTTATAACAATTATCGTTTGGCAACTACTTGAATTTCATTTCATCGATTGTATGAATCTGTTATGTAATAATAAATAATAGAAAATCATTTATGCCTTAATATTTATAAAGAAGTCAAACTTAACTGAAAGTTGTGTTTTGTAAAGATTTCCTAAATAAAATGAGTAAAGAAAGGAAATAAATATTATTTAGTTAAATGCTTACCAGTATATTACTTAGTAACATTATCATTATGAAATATCAAAGCATTAGTCGAATCACGAAGTCAAAAACTATCATAATAGATGTGGGTATTGATATGAATAAATCGAATCGTATTGTAAGCAGTCATCCACGTCAACACACACACATTAATGCCTATTATAAACCATTGCTTATATCACTCGGATACGTAATATACCTATTAAAAAGAAATCGATCACATGTTGAAGAGCCTTGCGAATGTTAATGTATGCATAATATATTGAGAGAGAGAGAGCACTCTATAAATAAATATGGTTTTGAGAAGTATACGGCAACTTTCTTTTATATTTATCGAATAAAAGATCAAAGTAATAAAAGAAGAAAATAAATATTGAGATGATAATATGTTTAAGCCTACCGACGTCAATTTTCACACACCAAAATCCTCTAGTTCATCTAGTTCAAAAATTTCAAATGAAGATTTGATTTTAATTCTTTAAATTATGAACACAATCGAGTTTAAAAAAGACATCGGAAAATATTAAAAAAAATGAAGAAAATTCTGTAAAATAATGTTTATATGTTTTGTATTCATTTGTCAACATTTTCATCAGGTGGTCGTTGATAATCAGAAGTTGAAACTAAATAAATAACTAATATACCAAATAAAGCTGTAAATACACCAAAAAAATTTATAATTAAACGTCTTTTTTGTTCAACATCATTGGTTGTAAAAAATGATGAACCATATCCATGTTCAGATAAACCTGCTATAACTGTAACTACAGCTAATACAAATATAATTCTTCCCCAAAGACGATGACTAAAATAAAGTAATACTAATTAATTATTAAAAAAGAAAAGCAAAAAAAATCTTTACGTTGGCATGTATGCACTTCGAATTTTTAAACTTAATTTTGGAAATAAAAAAGTTACAAAACCAAATATCCATTGAAAAAAAAATAAAATTAGTGTTGTTAATCCAAGCCATGAATGAAATGATATAAAATGTATTGAACTACGACTCATTTTATATCGAATGATTGCAACAAGTCCAACAAGAGCAAAAGTTAATGATATTATAAGAAAACCAGCATGAAGAATTTTCACTATTAATTTACGTGTTGATTTTAATGTTCGATATAAAAGTATGGCATTTCCAAAACAAAATACTAAACCAGTTGTCATCATTACTGGATGATAACTAAATGGATTTGCATTCCAATCATAATAATAATTAGAATAGAGGCCTTGAGCATAAAATAAAGAAACCAATATAATACTTATTATACCAAATATTTCACATATAATCAATAATATTCGATAAGTTAATTCAGTATTTTTGTCTAATATACCAAACATTTTATTTAATCTCAAATTTTAATTTTGAAAGTAACTTGCAAGAAAAAAATGTAAAATTTATTTTAATAATGCAGAAGAAGAATATGTGATTTTATATAACTTTTCTTTTCTTTCATTTTAAATAAACATTGGACAGAAAAAAGGCTTCATGTAATAAAGAATAAAGTATACAATCAAGGGAGAAGAAAAAGAATTCGTCTATTTAAAAACTTTTTTTTTGAACTACATTATCGTACGACTAAAGTACGACCGGGATAAGTAAACACCGAAAGATTATAAAGCGTTAAAATTTTAACAAACATAAAATCATAAAAAAACGCACATTTTTACACGTTCGCTTTTTCTGAATTGTTAGAGAAATCGATCATATATCTTAATGTGAGTTGCTCGAAAAATAGTTTAGATTAGTGCATTGTTATTATATATTTTGTTATACTAATAAAGTAGAAAACGAAAAGATCCGTAGTAAACTGCAATACTTATATGTTTCGTAGCGAACTAAAATATCAAAAATATTTTGATCACCGATTTTAGTTATATTCTTTTTAGGTAATTTTTCTGATTCGATTTAAGGTTTTTAATCTGCTACTCCATGCTTCTTAATGTTTAAAAACAATAAAAATCAACAGTTTTTTCGTAATTTTCAGCGTTTATCTTGTAAGACAAGGTAAAGTATTTTCTCGTTGAAAAAAGAAACTCATATAGACACTTGATATAGTTAACAAGCATCAGACATTTATTTACCTGAATGGTTAATATGCACATGAGATATTTCCACGATAAAAACGCTTGTCATAGCAATATTCAACTGTAAAGAACTGTTTTTGTTGTGACTAAAACAGAGAATTGAACAAATCAAATATTCGTAAATATGGCATATAAGATGGAATCGACTGTTTTCACAGTTCACCAGCTGAATATGTAGGATATATATAGGTTGTGGAAGTGTGTAAAGCGAAGATACATACCCTCACCCACGTTATTGCACCAATTCGTGTGGGACATGAATTTGAGTGTTAAAAGAATATTAAAATCACCTCTTATATTCATATCCTCAATTTCTGATTAGAAACTAAATTTGCTACATGGTTTTTCATGCATATTATACTTTTATCTGTTATTATCTCTTTGACTGGCAAAATGCTATGACAAGTCAATGTAGATTTGTTTCAAGCACTTCAATACGATATTTGTGCATTTTATGACTTTTAAGTGTTCCAGTTTTAGACTATCTTCGAATTACATATAGAGAATAGATGTTAGCTCATCAAATCTTATTATCAAAGGACTGATGAATATGCGAGTGTAAATGTAAATTAAAATATTTTATTTGTTGACCATTATTGTTATTAGACGAACTTTTTCATAGTTCATGTTCAATAGATTTTATTTATGAAGTAAAAGTCTTAATAATATTGATTCTACATAAAAGTAAAATAGTAGTATTATTTTGTTTAATTAATTATCTCGATCAAGATATCGTATTTGCGATCGTATCCGAGAATGTTGCCAACGAACCGAACACGTGTTTGTCCAACGATAGTTCTCAATGCTTTGAGCGTAATGGGTACCTGTGTATTGTCAAATAGATTCTTTTCGTTTGGTAGCAATTGGAATATAGTATCATCAAATAACCAGTCACCTGCATCTGGTTCAGATGGTTGGCTAGGTTTTCCGCGCGGCATAACGATACCCTGCGAAACAAACGTTATTGTCTGGTCGACTTGCATTTGAAAATTATAAGTAGGAATTTCTTCTGATTCATTCAGCTCACCTAAATCATAATCCACCGCTGTAATTGTGAATCCAGCACCACTGCTTTGTACAAGATTGCAGAACGTCATTAGCAATAATAATATGACGCAAAGAGCAAAGTGTAATTTGTCCATTCGTATAATTATCTGTAAACAAAAATAAGCAAATGAAAAGAAAAAACAACAGTAACAGCTGTCTGCTGATGCCAAATAAACCTTTTCAATAGTGATGTATGTGACCATGCAAATAGAGCAGTTTCTTATTCAATAAATCACAATTACGATGCAATTCAATGGACGCACACACGTAGCAAAGAAAGAGTCAAATAAGGAGAAAAAGAATTTGGAAATTAAATAATCAAAATATTTACTATGCTTTCAATATTAGAAATTAGTCTGCTCTTACTTTGAAAAAGCGAAATTAGTTTTTCATATTCTCTAAATAGAACAGTTTCTCTTATTAACTGCATAGAATTTGAATTTATAAGAATAATTATAGTTACTTATTTCGTTCTTTTTCTTTTCTTTGACGACGTTGTAATCATCGTCCCATTATAGAGGTACATAAAATCGTATAATGAAACGGTTTCTATTGGTTATATACGTCATAACACGTCGTCGAATTATGTGAAGTTGAATAAAAATAGAATCGTTTCAAAATATAATTTCAACTCTTTCATGAAACAAGTCAACTAATCTCATAGGTAAAATAAATGAAAACGAATTGTTCTATTAATCGAATTTTCTAAAAAATAAAAGTTTGAATAGCTGCATGAGACAAGTTAAAATTCATTACTAAACAGATTGTGTTCAATAATATGAAATATTTTCACTCGTGTAACAAATTAGAAATTCAAATATAATATTAATAAATATTATAGTAAAGAAAAAAAAAAGTTATCGTTTACAATCACAGCTAGCTTTTAGTATTAAATCCATGTATTATGACATATGTCTACGTGCCTCTATGATGGTTTTAAAAGTCGTAGAGGTTTGATAATTTAATTGATGTTTTATGACTTCTTGATTAATGATAAGATAATATTAGAATTACTCATCGAGAAAAAAGGAAGTACGTTTACACATGAACGAATATAAACATGTATAAAATATAACGATGAAAAAGAAAAATAACTACAAGTAAGTAAAATATTTATGTAAAAGAATTTGCACAAAAACGGAATATTTCATGAATAGAATTTTACAATCATCATCCTAATATGAACTATTTATCGATTTAATAACCCTATTATTAATTTGTCATTATTATGTGATCGACAACCTGATCGATTGAAATCACATGTTGTACTGAAAAAATTCTGGTGAGAGAGTCAAAAAAAAACAGTGAAAAAATTTCGAATTCTTTTAAAAACAATTTTATAGACAAAATAGACCGAATATGAGATACACTCATGGTCAAAAGTCTTTCCTTCTTGTTTATTTCTGTACTATCATAATTCGTATACAATTTATTGCCTAGTAGAGATATGACTTGAGAGTTTTATTCTAATATAATCTGTATACCATACTGAAATAAAACTCTCAAGTCATAGCTCTACTTGGCAATAAATTTTATGTAAAGGATGATTGCGAAGAAACAAAGAAGCGAAACATTTTTCTGCGAGGGTATAGTTTCAGAGGGCATGTATGAAGTATCGATCAAAAATCATCTTTTTAAAGTGAACTTCACAACAAATAATTAAATAATCTGTGTCATGTCTCCTTTTTTGCTAACTCTACCAGAAATTTATGTGATATCTTAGTTTTTTTATGGCCAGAAACAGTGTTGACAAAGAAGGTTTCTGAAAAATTTTAACCTGCAAAATTCCAAACTCTCCGGGCTGATTGATTTTATTGACAATCGATCCGGTTCCAGTGCTGATATAGGCGGATAAATAATTAGTCTATAGAACTAATCACGAGTTACGCTTCAGTCACACAAAGTTTTGATGATGTGGTAATAAGAATAGAATGAAAAATGATCCTAATTTATATCGAGTTCAAAATAAAAATAAAAAAAATCTCTGAAACAGTAAAGAACTATAAGAATCAATTCACTCAGAAGAAAAATATGTTTCACTTCTTTGGTGTTTTCTTAAAACCTATTTGTATCTGTTTTATTTATATTTTTCAATAAACAGCTTTATAAGACTAGTAAAATGAACTATGTGTAATTATTTTTCTGTTTTTCTTTGTTTCGTTCACTCAGAAAAACCTTTTACATTGCTCGTTTATTGAAAATCAAAATTATAAATATTTGAGCACGAGAAGCTTTGCTTTTCGCAAATAAAGTACGTGACACTGTCGTATTTTGCTTTTGATTTCGAGAGAAAGTCTCCTGATTAACTTCTGTTTTTTAACGAAAAACCTCTAAATTCTAAAACTTCGATTTGGCAACTCTGATATACATACATATATATATTTTATTTATGGTCACTTTGATTTGAAGGTTAGCCGTTATATATTTTACTCTCATATAAATGTAAAAGCAAACACAAAAAGATTTTCTTTTTATTATCCTCGATAAAAATGTTACAAATGAAAGTGCATATACTATATGAAAAGAAATGAAGGTATCATAAATAATAAAAAAAACATTTTTTAACATACCCATGATGATCACGATAATATTAGCTCTTATTAAGAGAGAGACAAATGCATACTTACAGAATTGGAATAACAAATGTGAAAAAAGAAGAAGAAATAAAAAATACGACACGAAAGGTTAAAGCAACGAAGAAATAAAAATGTATTTCTTATTTAAATATTTTCTACATATTGTTACTCTGTCACAATAAAAAACATCCATTTCAAAAGGTACGATTCGTATCTATTATATCTTTTATTCAGCAAAGGTATGATTATAATTATTTAGGTGGAATTCGAAAATGCAAAATAATTTACAGATATCAACAATATTTCCTGCTGAGTCTTTAGTTTCGAACCAACACGAAGTTGAACTTAGTGGTATTCGTATGAATAATGATAATTATACTATTAAATCGAAAAGAAGTCTCTCATGTGGAAAATGCAATTGGTTTACTAAATTTCTTAACACGATGCTTAAAAAATATAATTGTATCGATGTAGAAACACGGGGTATTGAACGTATATTATCAGAAGATCGTACCGATTGCAAAACTATCAATATAGCAATGATGTGGGTAAGATAGCTTGGGGGAGGGAGGGGGGGTGAGTGAGGGTAATTACTATCGATTTTATATTTGTTAGTTTGGTGCAAATATAATTATACCAAGTTTTGCTAGTGGTATACTTGGTCCAGCACTATTCAAACTAAGTCTCTATGAATCATTTGTAACAATTATCTTTGGCACTTTACTTGGTATTATTCCAGTAGCAGCTATAGCCTGTTTTGGTCCAGCGTCGGGCCTACGTACAATGGTCTATTCTCGTTTCAGTTGGGGTTATTATGGTGCTTCGATAATGTCAGTTATTAATATTATTGTGGCACTTGGTTGGGCGGCTATAAACAGTATAACAGGTGCACAAACATTACGTGTTGTATTCAATGATTCAATACCAATGGTTGTTGGTATAGTTATTATTTCTATCATATCAATGATTGTCTCATTTGTTGGTTATAAATGGCTTCATATTTATGAACGATATTCATGGATACCAATATTTGTAGCATATTGTATATTAGCAGGAGTTGGTGCAAAATATTTTACATCTTCTAAAATGGTTAGATTTTCAAATAGTATAGCGAATCTTATTCTTAGATATGATCGATTTTCGAAAAAAAAGGAACAGAAGTTTTGTTGAGAAAAAAGTTTGATGAAAATATTGTATTTATATTCGAGTGAATTAAATTTAAAATATATATACATCACTTATAGGTATCTATCAATGCAACAACATTGAACAATAATAGTCGTCGTGCACAAATATCTCGTATTTTAAGTTTTGGCGCAACATGTTTTAGTATTTCGTCTAGTTGGTGTACGTGTGCAGCTGATTATAATACATATTTTTCTGAAGATACAAGTCAATTAAAAATCTTCGTTCTTACTTATATCGGCAATTTCCTACCCATGGCTCTTCTACAATTACTTGGAGCAGCTGCTTATACAGGCACATACACTAATCAAGAATGGAATCATGCATATGAAATAAATAGTGTTGGCGGATTATTAGGTGCTAGTCTCTCATCTCTTGGAGGTTTTGGTAAATTTTTACTTGTTCTATTTGCATTATCGACTATTGGTAATAATATACTAAATATTTATTCTTTATCATTGTCTGCGCAAGTTATTGGGCCAATATTTAAACGTATACCACGCTTTTTCTATACAGTTGTTGGTACTATAATATATATTCTATTAGCTATTGTTGCTGCAAATAAATTTAATGATTCATTAATATCACTTCTAAGTTTAACATCATATTGGTCAGTAGTATTTGTTGTTATTGTGGTGGAAGAACATCTTCTATTTCGACGGTATTCATTTAAAAATTATAATTTTGATATATGGAATAATCGTAAAAGCTTATCAATCGGTATAGCTGCAATATTATCTGGATTGATAGGTGCTGTTGGTATTGCACTTGGAATGACACAAACTTGGTTCACTGGACCGATTGCAAAAGCTATTGCAGGTGATAGTGGTGAACAAGGTGCAGATGTTGGTCTTGAACTTGGTTTTGTTTTTACAGCAGTTAGTTTTCCATTATTCCGATCAATTGAATTATATTTTATTCGAAAATAAACCATGTTTTGTTTATATATCTTGATAGTATGGGTGAGGATGTTGATCTCATTCTCATTCACTTACATCTACATTCACCTTCTCTTATCAATCTTGTCTATTGATAAAGATATCGTAAAAAATATTTGAACATCGAAACAAATATTTTTCAAAAGAAAAAATAACAGAATTATAAAAACTCACGTGTCATGAAATATAAGCGGGTGTCGATGTGAGTAACTCTTCTTTATTTACACCCACAAACACTTACACCTTCACTCCAAAGTATTAAATTTAGTTATTGAGCAAAAAAAAGATTTTATTAATAATAAAAGCATAAAACTTCACATTGGAATATAGTATCATGAATTATTATACTCT